TGCAGAAAATAAAAAATTATAGTATTAAGATTTACTGTTATCTTTAATAATTTTTCTTAAAGCTTTATTATCTGTTTAATTTACAGTTAGAGCACGCTGACTTTTCATTTATGAAAAAGAGAAACATTCAGCTGTTTATATAGACAATTTAAAAATGCAAGATAAAACTATAAAATTTTCAGTCTATCTTACTCAAACAATCTTCACAAACCTAGCTGGGAAAAAGAATGCCTTGCCTGATAATCAGCTAAAATCAGCTGTAACTGCAAGCAGGACTTGCACAGCTGCATAATGCAGTTCAGCATCATGAGACACATAGGCAATGTAACTCTCTATTTATCATCACTCTGCTCTTGACCTCTTCTCTTTCCCTTCTTCATCTGCCACCAGTAGAAGTTTACCACTAGCAAGGCTGCACTGTTTGACCAATGTTGCATGAAGACTAAGAATATAGTGGAGACACTTGAAACCCAGAGTCTGGCATCCTTTTTCCAGTGGGAGTCCAACTGACACCCGCCAGGGTCTCAGATTGCACAGAATCTGCCTAAAAAAACGCATTCACTCGTGGTTGCCCGGTTTAGCCAGCGCCATCGCCCAGCTCGGAGACCACCGGGGATGACCGCAAGACTACCGAGATTGCCCCGTGGGAGAAATGTCAGCTAGACCATGCCCCCTTTCGAATTTTCCCAGAATGGATCCATTCTTGTGAGACATCCAATACGATCAACAGTTCCCAAGTCAAATGCATTGGGGGCCCTGCGCCGCCGCGATTGAAAGTCCCGCAGATAACGAGATGAGGCAATTTTGCTACTGGTCCAAGGGAACAACCAAAAAATTGTTGGCCCCAGCACGGCTCTCAACGAGAATGGTCCAGCCGCCCAGCTGGAATATCGGACTCCAGGTGTTGGAATATCCCACCGCAAAAGGCGACGCAAGAGACCTGAATCAAGCGCGTATCGAGCTAAGAGGTAGGAGAAAGAAACAAAGGAAGGGAAAATTAAGATAGAGGAAGTGACCGTGGCCCCGTCCCTAGAGTTGAATAAGAAAGAGGGACGCAATATTCCATGCCAGGATAGAGGGAGAGGAGTTGCGCAGTGCAGGCTGCAGGAAGGAAATAGAGATGTAACACTATGCTTGTCCTTTGTTGGGGCGCAGGCAAAGATACAAGAGACACGGATAGAACGTCAAAAGTTGAGAAGTACGGGAGAGGAGAAAGTGGAAAGGAAAAAGGAATTGCGTGCGAGATGGGAGGTCGAGGTGGTGTTTATATAGATCAACGGCGATGGTGTCGACATTTTGATGGGGTCGCCGAGCAGGTCACGCCAAACCTAAAGTAGACACGCTACGCCTAAAGGAGCAGCGCTAGACCGAACACGGCGAGAGGCCACGCCCGAAGAGGCATGGCAGCGCGGCGACGCGGACCCACTCGCTAGCTGGGAGTTTATTGTATTTTATTTTATAATTGAATCTATATTTTAATCAATTTTAACTATATTATAATAATTTTGAATTATATTATAATATAAGTCTTGATATTTTATAGATTACAAATTAAAAAGTAAAAATAATGAATATTCATTGAGATATTAACATTTAAAGTTGATTGTAATTGATTTACAATGGTGAGCGTTGGGTGGAAACGACGTTATTGTACCTTGGGATCAGGACTAACTTTTCCACAAGTTTCCAATCATGCGGTCACATGGACACCGGCTGGTCTACCTAGGTAACTTCCGAGTGAATTTAACTATCACATGATTCTATAATGTATCCAAACTATGAAGATCTAAACTACTTTCAGACTAGCGTATTCAGATCACATGACAATGGATGCGAACCTTGGAATTTATGGTTCAGCAACTGGAACCAGGGCGGAGCTGCGGGATAGAATGCAAGGTGGAAGGAAGCTTTCCTGGCCCGTTGGTGGCCCGCAGGTAGATTTGGGGGCGAGCTGTCCTCCGTAATAGATAAATATGGAAAACATTCGCATCACGAAACTCGCCTGTTGTGCTCCAGCCACGACTCCACAAGACCGCTCTAATTGTGCCACCAGAATCTATGCTTGTGTTGGTCGCATTGAGCTATTTTACCTCTTTAATTCACTTTCCTCAAAAATATAAAAAGACTTGCGCGGCTTCATCTCTCCTGTTGGATGTGATCGTTCCTCCAGTCCGTTTCTAATCCAGTCGCGTTCCCAACACCTTTCTCAGGTCCAGAGCTCATTGATTTTTTTGCCGTTGAATACTACTTCTGTGCCCGATCCTAGATTGAGAAAATGAAGGAGATCATCTCGAGTTCCCCTCCTTGCCATTCTGACCAGAAAGGGTACAATCTTCAGCGCATTTCGAAGGACGTTATCCCGTCGTGGGGCCGGCGCAGCGATGTCCCTCCACTTCGAAGTGCATTGTCTCTTGCGATAATGCTGGCATGTCCTGCTGCCATTGTCTTCTGGTACGTGACACTACAGCATTTCGACGGCTCCCTATTGTCGGCCACGGTGGCCCTCCGAAACGAAGGGTTCATTTATTTTTACCGCGAATACTGTCCGATCCCCAATTTGCCAACTACTCTTGTCTACGGAGCTTGGGTCCTCTTTCAAGCGCTGCTCTACAGCTTTCTCCCGGGATCTACGCATGAAGGACAGCCTACTCCTGCTGGAAACATTCTCAAGTACAAAATCAACGGGTTGTTGGCTGCCGTTGTAACTACGTTGCTATTTGGCGCGATTAGCCTGTGGGGTGGTACTTCTGCTTCATCATTTGTCGCCGCCAATTGGGGCGCGTTTCTCGCCATATTTAATATCTACGGATTGTTTCTCACCCTGGCTTTCTACATTAAAGCCCACATCTCGCCGTCCCATCCGGAGGACAGGAAGTTCAGCGGTTAGAACATTCATCTTTTTTGACTACGTTAGGGATTGCCTGGCTTACATTTCCATAGGATCTCCGTTGTATGATATATATATGGGGATTGAGCTGAATCCGCGACTGGGCCAATCATGGGATATGAAGCTTTTTCACAACGGCCGTCCTGGTATCATTGGCTGGATATTGATGTGAGATATGCAAAATATTTTCTGGCTATATATTCAATGAGCTAACAACATTATTAGTGACATGTCCTTCACTGCTCTCCAATTTTGTCGACACGGATACATTACGAACTCAATTCTTATTGCGGATATCCTTCACCTGACTTATATTATGGACTTCTTTTTCAATGAGGACTGGTATGTTTTCCATGAGGGAGAGAGTTTCCCTATACCCGCTAAAAACAGAAACGCATCTAGGTATCTGAAAACCATAGATATGGCCCATGACCATGTCGGATTTTATCTGGCTTGGGGCTCTGCAGCATGGCTTCCTACGATCTACACCTTACAACCCCAATTCTTAGCAATTAACCCAGTTTCTCTCTCCCCGATTGCTGCAGCCACGATTTTGACAGCTGGGTTTGGTGGATATGTCCTATTTCGGTCCGCAAATCACCAAAAATACCTCGTGCGTGATACCCAAGGCAAATGTTTGATATGGGGGAAAGCGCCAGAGTATATCCAAGGCGAGTATAAAACCGCAGATGGATCGAGGCACAAATCTATTATTCTATGCTCTGGTACGTTCAAGCATCCTCCCAGTGCTTCCACTTGTAATAATTGTGAATTTTATCACTGACACGGGCCATTTGCGCACTGCTTTTTCGTGACAGGATGGTGGGGAGTTGTCCGTCATGCGAACTACCTGGGAGATCTAATCTTGTCCTACGCAATGTGTGCTACCTGCGGGTTCACTCACCTGCTCCCTTGGACTTACGCCATATTCATGACAACGATTCTCGTCCACCGATGCTATCGAGATGAGGAGCGATGCGCCAAGAAGTACGGGAAGACCTGGGGTGAATACTGCGGGAAAGTCAGATGGAGAATCATCCCTGGCGTCTTTTAAGAGCTATCCAGTCGCCGAATATTTTCTTTCGTTTGCTTCCTTTTCAACTCAAGCCGGAATAATAGCGCGATTCGAACTTATTTTATTAGTAGACTCAGATCTACCCTGTCGTTCCTAAGCGACTTTGAAGGGATATCGGCTGTTGGAAAGAGTAAGGGCCGCCTGAAAGACTATGCATGAGCGAGACAAGGTGTGGAAAACGAAATTAATAACTAATGTATCAGAAACCTCGATGATCAAACCTGGTCATGAGATCCATAGATACTTGAAGCTATGTAAGAAACTAGACAGAAATCAGAAACAGATGAAACAGCTAATTGTGCCATGACAACTGACAACAGAGTAAAATACATACCTGAAATGGAACACTTCTCTACTTCATATCTCTTATCTCTATGGTGTTTTCGTGTAACTGCAGCAAAGGTCATCGGTCACCCGACATGTAGCCGACTACAAGTCCGAGGCCTGTGAGGAGAGTACTTGCCCGCGGAAGAAGCACGCCTGCAGAGTAATCGAATCGCAATCTCTCTCCCGACTGTGTTTATCGGCGAGAGGCAGTCATGAGATCACGTAATTGCGAAATTGCATTTCCGCAGAGGGTGAAGTTGCTGATCACTATTGATTGTAGTGATAGGATATATATGGCAATGTTTGAAGTGACAGCAGACTTTAAAGCCCAGTCAAACCTCGCGCACAAGGTTATTATTATCGCTCATAGTCACAGCCACAAACATTGACAATATCATGCCGCACCTTGCGAAGCACATAACTTGAATGTCAGGTTCCCGGATCTCCTCTGTTGTAGATTTCAAGGGGGGGGTGAGGTGTCGGATCCTTTTGGTGAGGTCGTCTGGCCGATGTATTGTTCAACAGACAGACTGGGATCCTGAAGCTCTCATGTTAGCGAAGTGGTATCTTCCATCCATTGCATTGTGGTCAGCGCTATACTCCGCTCGATAATGATATTGGGACTCGCTGTTCCATTTTAAAATGCCATATTCTCAGCGGTTCCAACCTGAAGGATGAACTGGGTTGTTGTAATTGGCGCCAAACTAGCGCGTCTACAACCAACAAGCAAGCGCGCTTATTTAACCAGGTTCAGCCAGGATTCTGCTTTACGGTGGCTGAATTTAGAGGTACTGTTGTAATTCAAATCGTTTAAATATATCATATGCAGTTTTTATGAAGACTCTTTGAAATTTATGTATCTGAAATGCTAATTGGTCAAGCAAGGAATTGAGATTTCATGGTTTTCGGCGGCTGGGTCGGATAACTTTAATCTCGGCTTCAATTTTTTCAATAATAAAGCGCTTCTCAACCAACAATATTCCGTATCTCATACCAACATTTGTTATGCCTGCACTTTTTTTTATAATTTCCCCTTAAAGCCACACAAGCACATGTGTTTCACCTGTGTTGAACTCCAGAGCTTGTCCCCAATGCCCTCGCGGGTCTTACCTGCGCAGGAGGGCAGAGAGCTCAGTACATCGGATGGGCACGGCGATAGCCGCCGGAACCTGCAGGCTACGGAGCCTGGGGCCAATGCAGCTGTGGAACGTGGTGGGATCCGGTCGGTCCGTGTTGTCTGGGCTGGCTTCCTCTCGAGCGAGGCTTCGACCCCCGTGCGCATATCCAGTTACACGCGTGAGGAGCACAACGTCGAAAAGGTCGTTCCACTCGAGCCCTCCCTCTCTATCCGAACGTCGCATATCGTATCGCATTGCCGCGTCCGCCTCCGGGAAAGGTCAAAAACTCTCTCCTGCGAAAAATGTCATTAGCTTTAACCCGGAGGAGCAAGCCGCTCTTGGCTTGCAGACCGGGACAACTGCTTTGGCTCGGAAAATGTCCCGGTTTGATAGTGGAGAGGATGCCTTCTTTGTGAGCAAGGTGAATGATGAACCCAGCGCTGTCGCTTTTGGCGTGGCAGATGGTGTAGGAGGTTGGTCCGAATCTGGAGTGGACCCGGCAGATTTCTCTCATGCTCTTTGCAGCAACATGGCCCAAGCCGCGTTGGAGTGGAATTCAAAATTAGAAAAAGTGAGGCCTAGGGCTCTAATGCAGGCCGGTTATGAGAGATGCAAAGCAGATCAGTCTATTTTTGCGGGTGGAAGTACCGCTAGCATCGGCATTGCCCATAATGATGGCAGGGTGGAACTTGCGAAGTATGTATACATCCTCCTGTTCTTTACATGACGAAAACTTAAGGGCTTGCAATACTAACAACGACAATTTCGTTCAGTCTCGGAGATTCAGGGTCAATTCTTTGCCGACTTGCAGCCATTCATCATTACTCCGTTCCTCAAACGCACGATTTCAATACTCCGTACCAGCTCACCTTGGTCCCACCAATCATGCGAATCCAATCGTCAATATTCGGGGGTCGAGTCTTCGAGGACCTCCCCCACCACGCGAGCGTAACCAATTTGAAAATGCAACATGGTGACGTGCTCATTCTTGCCACCGACGGGGTCCTAGACAACCTTTTCAACCAAGACATTTTAAATAGCATAACAGACCAAATGATAACCGCTGGCGCTTGGAATGTTACTTCGGAGTCGGGGATTCGCGTTGCCGCTGATCTCGATAAATTCACTCATGAAGGCGGCCTTATCCCAGAGCCCAGGGTCTCGTCCACCTTGGCGAACGATCCCCAATCTCAGCAACCAAGATCTAACGCTCAAACACGGCACCTTCCCTTACAAAGCCTCCTCGCTCTTACAGTCGTTCGGCAGGCCAAAGTTGCCAGCATGGATCGTCACAGGGACGGACCCTTTGCGAAACAGGCCCAGAGATATTATCCATGGGATAGATGGAGAGGTGGTAAAATCGATGATATCTGCGTAATTGTCGTTGTTGCGGTGGAGGAAGGGAGAGCAGAATCATGACAAAAATTCCAACTCGACCTCCATGCCGGCGCGGAGAGTAAAATTTGAAAAGAGGACGGTTCATGAAGTGTAGATTTGAGACGCCCCGTTGGTCGCCATATCCATACAGCAACGGAGCCAGATAGAAGAGAAAAAGCAAAAGGACACCAATCAATCTTCAGGACAATTTCCGTTTTCATGCCCCGAATACTTTCAAAAGTCTTGTCAACAGAACTGTTTTGGCACGTACAATAAATAACGGCGAAAAAAAGGAGGTGCCAACTCATATGCTCCGGATTTCCAGCCTAACAACCCCATATCTATGCATGCTTCGGCATCCTCGCACTTGTTGAATCAATTTTGGATGCCACTCACAAACCAATATTTTCTACTGCTACATGCGGCTATGCCTGATTATATATCCCCTATAGACGTGTACATAAGCGACATATTCTGTACATATTCACATGTTTTGAATGTCAAATGACCATAGCAGACTGCTATGAGAGGTTATTAACTAGATTTCTTTAATTACGTATTCTGTTAGATTATTAACGGTCTATCTTGTTATAGTTAGCAGTTATATAGCGATACTATAAATTTTCTGTGAGGGCTTCAGATCTCAGGTTTGAATATAGTAGTAGCCCCCCATTAATTTTCAGTGTAGTAGTTGTAGTTGTAGAGATATCTTGACTATCTATAAATCTCGTAATATAATGATAAAGTAAAAAACGATCTAGATTGGCTTGATTGATTGATTTGATTTGATTATATCATATACCGATCCAGCCCCCCCGGGGGCAAGGATTTGAACTAACGGTTTTTCTCTCAAATACTGGTGAATTATTTAAGCGCACCAGAGCGCTGTGCATGTACTGCACAAGCCGTAATTCTGCCTGCCTACAAATTTTTTTCTGGCTTCCCCTGAACGAACGTATTATAACACGAATGTAACACTGTTATTATGGGAATCTCGTCATTTATATATCTAATCTACTGAGGGCTGAGCTGGCAACCTGCTAGAGCAATGTGGGAAGCCAATTCCAGGAGCCATGTATTCATGTGGTTTTGCATACCCAGTAATAGGAGGGAGGTGTCATAGGTTTATACAATCTTCCATTGTTCCTGCTTAATATTCGTCTTGTCTGATCCTTGCTTTTAGGGAAAACACGATTGCAAAAGGGCCTTGTACTGTCCCTTTTACAGCATGGCCAATGGCATCTGAAGTGATGGCGCCCTAGATATAGCCATACTTCAGAAGGTCAAGTGCACTGGGCCGTAGTTCTGGAACAGGATTGAGTGCGACGGGCGCTGTCTCGATATCCTTTTCCGGAATATTCTTGTCAAAGAGTTTTACTACCCAGTGATCATGCTCGGTCCTTGTTTCATCCTTTGGCGGCAGCAATTGCCGCGTAACAGGATTCGAGTTATAATACTCAATCGCGTGAAGGCTAAACTCTTGTGCCATGGCCGCCCGGATAACATTCTCCTTGTCTGTCAATGTTCCCTCGACCTCCAAAGAGTCAAACATTCCGGGTTTCTTGAAATTGATGTGGGCTTGAAGCAGGTGCAGGTACTGTGTAAGATGTGTTAAGCATCATCTACTGCAAGAGGTGTCTTGAGTATGGAAGAAGTTACTATGCCCCAGGGCCATATATCTGTTGCAGCTGTTCAGGGTTTGTTGAAGTACATCTCAGGACTATGGTAAGTGATTGCGGATATGGATGGGCCTTGAGAGGGCGGCCAAGCTGGTCCTTAGTTGGCCATTCGCAGCAGCGAGCTGGACAGCCGTGTAGCGACAACATACCCGTCCCAAGATTAGCAATCTTTGTTACCAAACGTTCACCGGAGCCTGGGGACTTGTTATCGAACCCATTGACTAGGACGTTCTCCATCTTCAAGTCTGGCACATAGTGTCTATTCAATGTTAAGTCCCGTTCTCGGCAACAAACCTGTATAAACGATATTCTTGTGGTGTATAGTCCCAGTCCAATTGCGATAGATCTTGCGCTGCACAACGATTTCTCGAATGCCTCGAGAACCATGGTCTGAGGCTCCACATCAGAAGGAGGCGGGACAACATCGACCATCCGACGGATGTAGCCAGATTTATACAACAGCTCCTACATTTCCATCTCCCTACGGGGGCGTCTTCATCGTCCGGCTACTTGAGGACAAACTGGCGCATTGGGTCGTTCTCCTTTGCAGCGCTCCAGACATTGCACCGTTTACCTTCGCGCTGAACGAGCGGATCAAGCAAAACATAGGTATGGCAGCGTTTACCAACCAGCTTCGAGCCTCGAGTTAACACACAGAGAGGGGACGACATGATATCGTAAACATCTTGTAGATGAGTTTAAGCGATTGAGCTATCACGCACTGTTTCTCCTTTCGTGACAGGAGAACGAATTCGCAGAGCAGAGCATTACAGAGGGAGCTCCATCTTGCGCAGTAATTACTCGGAAGGGCCTTGAGCAATTTGGTTGCGATGAGGTCGCTCGCTCAAGACCAGATTAGACATAGCCTAGGTGCCTAGGTAGGTGGTGTGTGCATATTTAAGGCTCGTCCCGCAGGTCAGCTCACGCCCATTATTCTCACAGGTTGCAAGCATCCCGACTGGCTTCATTTTGTTCTCCTCTCACTGTCACTCTGTGCCCTAATTCGATAAAAAATAGGAGCCGGCGGCTATGCGGGTCTATTTTTTTGTCGTCCCGGAGCTAAGAATCGTCCTGTCATTCAGTCATCATTTGCCCCATCAACAAGTTGAAACCTCCCGGCTCATTGGACTCGATATTTGAGGCAAAGCAGTCGGCACCCCCAGCAAGCAGATCATGGCACGGATGTCAATTGTTAGCCGCCTGTCCCCTTGATACTACTGTAGGACGGGATCCTTAACGCAAATCCGACACAAAAACCCTTGACGGAGATGCCTACCACCAGTCGCTTTCTACTCGCATTGTATCAATCACAAATTGTCTCGAGTAGCCGCCTGAATTTTAGTTTTTGAGGCGTTCTGACTCTTTGGTTGCCAGGGGCATCAAACAGTCATGCGCCTGGCTCACAGCCTGGCGGGCATCATGGGGGGAGAGAGCTCAGCTGTATATACTCGATCAAATACCCAGTCTTGTTCAGTTTCTCATTCTCCCCTTCAATAAAATCGGTGCACTGTGTACTGACGCTGCCAATTCCCCCTTAATTTGCTTTCCATTCAATCTTCTATTCTCGAGCCTTGCTCTTTCAACCTTCATTGAAACTATCCGTATTTCCTGACGGTCACTACGGCCAATAAGGACACTGGACTTCGCGTTTTGCGGAAACTGAAATCGTGGGATCCCTTGTACCTTCATATGGAGCAAGGAGGCGGAGCCTGGCATCGTCCCGGCGTTTTCGATGAGTCGTACTTCAGCGAAGGTGTTGGAAAACGTATTGATGACGAGTTCCAGAAGCACAGTACTCAAGTCGAAGAGAAATACGGGAGCTCTATTGGGATGGCTATCATTGAGTAAGGATTCCGAGACAGGACGCAACAGCTTCATGGTCACTTTCGTCAGGGACGACTTCCACGAGAGCGGAAATGATAAGGAGAGCCCTCTGGGGTCACCTACCAAGTCAAGGATGGCAAACATTTAACCCGGCGCCATGTCGCTGGGAGGCCGGAGGAGCAGAAAGAGGTAAGAAAAGAGGTGAGAGATTATTTGCTTGGTCTCATGATTCCGTACTGATGATATTGCAGAGTGATAAGAAGTAGCGAAGCTTGTACCGCCGAGGATATCAAGGCGTGCCTCTCTCAGTAAGCCAGCTCGACCGTCAAGATGGGACATAAGTGGGATTGCCTTGTTTTTTGTCTCTCTGCTATCTCCCTGCCACAAGGGGTCCAATTGAAAATCAAAAAAAAGGTACGTTATAGCATACCGTGGAACGCCCATTGAAATAAATGAGCCCAAGGAATTAATATCAAATGGACTATGGACGCATAATAGCAGGAAAGTATATAAGTAGGCTGGGTAGGTTTGGTAGCCAACTTGACAGGGGGAAAGACTGTCCGACTGTGCGAGAACGAATCCACAGACACAATATATAAATTTATACTAAAGGTTTAAAAGGACCAAAAGAAAAAAAAGAAAAAGAAAAAGAAAAAGAAAAAAGTCAAGAAGGAAAATTATCCAAATAGGCTGCTTTCGGCCAAAGCCGACATGGCTTCTGAAAATATTACAATGAATCTCACCGACAACGACTTCAGTTGAGAATTTTAGACCTGCTCAGTTCGGAATTCAGAGTGGAGTTCCTCCCTTCTTTGCACCGGGGAACGTATCCAGCAACACATCCCAAATAGGCTTGCCGCCCTTGGTTAGATCAGCCAGCGCAGGGCAGTCGAGATCAAGGAGGGGAACATTGAGGGTCTCGGTTAGGAGCTTTAGAGGGGCTTCGAGTGTGGCGATGGTGCTAGATAGAGAGTTTGGAGCGAAGGCTTTGACGATCTGAAGCAGGAAGCAGATGAGATTGTTGCCCTCGAAAACGTGGCCGATGTTGGCGATGCCTGTTGTGAGATTTCCCAGGTCAAGGCCGGCAAAAGAGTCGATTTTACCCAGGTTACCGCCAATGCTGCAACGGGAAGATATTTGTTAGTATATGAGCTCCCTGTAAACCCTTACGTAGGTATGTTCATACGCCCCTGGAATGGAAGCCAAGGGTGGTTCAAAAGACTCACCTTGCCAATTCGGGATATTTAAGTACCCAGTCAATGATATCAAGATTGAACTGGATTAAACCGAAGTCAACTGGAGTGCGATACCAGTTTTCTGGAATCTTTTCCCAGCCTTCCTTGTACTCGAGACAGTCCTCTTCGCCATAAATACCGTAAAAGCTCTTGATAATGTTTTTTGCTGTGATCAACCTCTTTAGCATTGCCGCTGTCCACCGAATACTGGGAGACCTTCACTCACTCAAAGTACCCTGAGGGTTTTCGCGGGAATGGTTCCTGAATAGTCGACCAGGGAAAATATACCCAGCGTTGCGGTTGATCAAACCGGTAACAGGGCCATAGTAGAAATAGGGGTTCTCAAATTTGCTTTCTTGGAATCTGTCCGCTGCACGTCGTGCCATGATATCCATGTTATAATCTCCGACTGGGTGCTCTCGAGACATGTTGTACCAAGCCATAAACTTATCCATTCGGAGGGTATGGGCGTTTCCTGTGGAATATAGATCATCCCGCGTATTGGAAGAGTCTGATTCGATCATGTTGTGAGACCCGATAAGCCCTTGCGGGGTGCCTGAGACGAATTGTCAACAACACTGATAATAAAATGCCGGGAGCTACTTCCACTCATACCAATCAATCCAAGAATCTCGTGAAGAATATTTTCAGACTGGTTAGTCGGCCCTCCAATGCTGAATCCCGGAGTCAGGGAGATTGGGTTCCCAACCCACACTGTTCCCAAGACTCCAAGAATAGTCGCAAGGTCGATGCCCATTCCATATACTACATGTAGAGGTCATATTAATCAAAACTCAAGACGCCGTAAGGTGCGGTAGTTGGTGGCTAGCTCTCACCGTCATTGATAGCAAAGATAACTTGCGCTGTCTGTTGGCCCCCGTTAGATTCCACAATGAGCTAGATAGGGTAGCTTTAAAGTACAGTTGTGACTCCGTTATGTGGAATATATCCATGGTTTGCCAAGGCGTTCAAACCCGGGCAAGGACCTCGCTGGTCACCAGCTTCGAAGTTTGGTGGAACGAAAGCATGTTTTCCAGTAACTATGTTCAACTTTAGCTTAATATCACAGCTAGATAAGCCAATTGTCCATCTTACCCTCGATGGGCTTCTTCATCGTATCGACAAAGAGTCGCTTTTCCCGCTTGTGCTTAAGCTCAGCTTGGAGCAGCGAGTACGGACATCCTTTTTGGGACTGCTCTACATTGAATCTAGCAATGTTTTCTGCAGACGGGAAGGCATTGACGAGCACATCCAACCCCATGAGGGGAAGGGCAAAGGAGAGAATTGAAAGCTTCATGAGAAATAAAAGGGCGACGGTTCCAAGAAAAAGAGAAAATAAATATGAAAACGAATGATTGGAATTTAATATCTGCCTAGGTAAACCACCATTCGGGGTCTGGAAAAGGAGTGGACAAGCTCCAACAACCAAAGATCTAGAAAATGAGTTACAGAACGAAGCACCTCTGCGGTTATACAAAAGCTAACTTCATGGAGAGAAAATGTGAACGGATGGATATCTACTAGGTAGGATCGATATCCGGATGACATAAGTTGAAAGAAGAAGCGGGAGTAAAAGTCTCCGAAGAATATTATTCCTGCATAGTGCTAATCCGGCATATGTGAGTGGCTTCATCCCATGTCGCGAAGCCTGCTGGGACCTCTCATGCCACGACAGAGGGCTGGGGTGGAAAACTCGACAGCATCAAAATCGAGATCGACGCAGTACAAATTTCTTTTGTCGCGCCCAGACAAGGGATCCCAGACAAGGGATGGTTGGAGAACTACGCTGCGTAAGGTAAAGTCAGAATAGCCTGTTTCAAGCCTTGTAGGCATTTTCTGGGATAGAACCATGAAGTGGAACGAACCCACATGGTTCAAAAATAACCTTAACAAAGGGAGAGAGAGTACGATGTGCAGAATTCCATTCCATCTTGGACTAGCTGTGGGCTAAGTGCCCTAAAAGTGCCAAGGAGCGGCTCATGAGGTCGAAAACTGGAGAAGCATTGCCAGCTCCTCGCTATCTCCCAGCACGCTGGGCCGTCCTGGTTTTGTCGCTGTTGCAATTGATTGCGGTGTTGAGACCACGGAATGTTGGAATAGTTAGGGGTTCGATGTAGCGACGCTGGTGGTTGGTTGGCGAGTTGAGTAATTAATCACGTGGTGCTTCTTGCCCTAACTAGTTATCTAGCTAACTAACTAAACTACTGTATCTAACCTCCTTATTTTCTGTTAGCGCTCGAACCATGGACAGGACACAGCCAAACGTGCCTCCAAGAATTATCTCCGACAAGCCCAGCAAGCTTCCTGTTAGAATTTAACTTTCATACGAACCTACGGGATAACTCATCTTCTTCCCAGTACATAATCTTATAGTGAGTGTTGCTATCTGACAAGCCTTGCGAGCAGCAAGCGACTCTCTTCTACCGAATTCTCTTGGCTTGTTTGCCCTGGGGCCACACAGCTTCTCATCATGTCTCCGCCGGCCCTCAATCTGGGATTTCATGTTTGACCTGTGAGAGGAGTTACTGGAGCCTTTTTGGCTTTCAGCCTTTCTTTGGTCATTGATCAGCATCAGTGGCTTACGCTGCGTACACAAAAGTTTGTTTGTCATAGCTGCGTTCCTTCTTGGGGGTTGTTCTCTGGAGCTATGAGCATGGCCTCGATGAGAGGATTCCTTGACAACAGCCGAGGACGACTTCCCGTAGTTAGCCCTGGCTGATTCTTCGGGAGGTGGAGTGCGGAATCCCCGTCAGGAGCTGACGCCCGCGTCGGGCCTGAGGGAGGTCCATCAATATTTTTTTTAAAGTCACAATTCCTCCTCCTTGATCCTTGCGCGCCGTGAGGAACAATTCGCTATCAAGCCTCAAAATCGCCGGCGTGCGTAGATATTCTTTAGAACAGGATTTCCCATTTTCATTCATTATTGCTGGCCTCGTTCTTATTTTATTTCCTGATTTTGGCACCTCTGACTGTTGAAGTCATCTGGCTCGCGCTTCGCCTACTCTTCACTTTCCGTTGAATTTGTCCTTGGCTTTCTCTCAGTTTCTCCCACATGCGCGGTGATTGGGTATCACGGCGCCTCTATGGTACTTAGACCGTGGATAAGTGGATATGAAGGGTTTGAACATCTTCTTGACGGGGTTTGCAGCCCTTGTTTCAGCAGCGCAAGCAGAGAGGATATATGTACCTGAATGCACGGTAGGGTGTATAACCTGAGGAATAAGTATAAAACATAGCTAATTGTATTCAGATCGAGTGTACGAAACTGGCAATATCTGAACTATGCGCGCCAACTGACGTGAAGTGTTTGGATACCTGCACAAACCACCAGCTGGATGCTAAGATCGCACCATGCGTGGAACGGACATGTACAGTTAGAGAATCGTTGAGTAGGTGGTGGCTTCTATTCCATGATCGCTATCCACGGCTACTGATGTGATGCAGCAACGAAGAGGATCTCTGATTTAAAATGCGGACGCCCAATCCGGGACCGTACTAAGTTGATATCGGTTACGGGTGTGGTTGGGGGAGGCCTCGCGCTGTTGGCCTTCAGTTTGCGGATGATGGCAAGGTTGCCTTTTTTCAACGGTGGGCCATTTGGCATGGACGATGCGATGATAATAATAGCGATGGTTAGATCCCTATGATGACTATGGCCTTCGGTTTGAGTGGTGATTGCTAACTAAATATTAGATGTTCACAGTCCCCTTCACCGTGTTCTCAGTATTTAGTGAGTATCACTATTCTTGACCCTGACCACACAGGAAAATATAGCTAACAATCAATTTAAAATAGTCGCAAATGCTGGCCTTGGGAAAGACATATGGCATGTTGATTTCGACGACATCACAAAAGTTCTTTACGTGAGTAACCCCGCGTGCCTTTCTCGGGGGTCTTCGTGCGACTGACCAAGGCTTAGATATACTTTTGGGATGAGTGGATTTATTTTTCAGCTCTCACAGCGACAAAGATATCCCTCCACTTCTTCTATCTTCGAATATTCCCAAAAAAAAGTTTCAGGATAGCCATCTATGTCGTCATGGGCCTGACACTGGCATACGGGTTCGTCTTCATCATTGTGTCGGTGTTCCAATGCTCACCGATAAAACTTGCCTGGCTCCGGTGGGATGGCACTACCCCGGGCCACTGCAATAATATCAACCTGCAGGGCTGGACAAGCGCGGCGTTTAATATTGTCTTGGACCTACTTACTCTAGTTCTTCCCTTAAGGGAGTTATCGAAAATGGACCTTTGGCGCAGGAAGAAGATCCACATATGCATCATGTTCAGCGTCGGTTCTTTGTATGTTGATGTTTCCTTTTCCAACTTTATCTTCTTGCAACAGAGAAGGCTGACAGTAAAACTTGATAGCGTCACTATCGTCAGCATTCTCCGCCTCCATACTCTTCTTGAATTTGCCAAATCGCACAATTTCACTTGTGAGTTTACCCTTTTAATTTCATGTCCACGAATTCAGACTAAACCAGTTTTCAGGGGACTACGTCGAAATGGGATATTGGAGTACAATTGAAATCCATGTGGGCATAATCTGCGCATGCATGCCAGCAATGCGATCCCTCCTCCGAAGACTATTTCCCAGCTTCTTCTCCTACACTCAGCATCAGAAATCTGGCACGTTCGGTAATAGCTCATCGCATGAAGAGTCCGCAATACGCAACTCGCAACGAACGCCTCAAAAGCCCGGGTTTCACGATTCGGACTCATTGCCTCTGGTCGATGTCTATAATGCTCGACTCCAGTACAGCTACTTCAATCCTAAGTAGGATCCGGCTGCCAGTCTGTCTGGTTGCTCCGCCTATTTGCCGAAATATGATTCTGCCTATCTTTTTAAGCCATGCCGTGTTCCATTCTATTTCTGTCGCTACTGTTTTAGACTTGTGATAATCGCCCTTTCGTTTTCTCATCTGCTTATTGATCTTAAGATCCCTGATACTAAATTTACGCTCGCTAGAGTCATACAGTGGGCAAGACCCATTGTTCTTTCGTTTCTCTCTCAATCTTCCCCATTTTCCCTATTTGTATGATTTGCTAGGCTTTTCAGTTGAGAGTAATATTATTGGCGGCACAGAAAAGGGGGCTTTCATTCCTGCAGAATATCCTGGCTCAACCACTTCAAAAAAAATACACATAAGCATCCTGCGTAATCACATTTAAACGCTACCAACAAAGGGGAACATGGCTCTAAGTGGAGCCTCCGTTTCCACTATTCCCTCCCACACGGCACACGGCTTGGGGTTGCTCGTTCGGAGCCTCCGAGGCAGGTTGGACGAGACGAAATTAAGCATTTGTCCCATTTTGGAATCATGGTCAACGGACCATTGTGTACTCTCACCACAGCTAAAATACGGTCTCGCGACAATAATCAATTATCGCCTCCTCTCATACTCCCTATGACATATAGTTATATACTCTAACTAGTAAAATTGAAGTTTGCGCAGTATACGGGAAAATTCAAAGCATTTTCCAGCCGCAATCCTAGCATATTCAGCCTTTACCCGAGCCGAAGCTCCCCCAACTCCGGAGGCAAGTATGAACATGAGAGTTTGAACTAACTTATGATCATGCAAAGTGACTGGCTGGGGCCGTGGTACCTTGTTATTGTGCTAATCCCACCCACCGTGCTGGAGCATTTAGCGCTTACTCCATGGATATTGTGCAGCTTAGTTTTGATACCTGGCAGATGATCGGCATGCAAGCTCTTTTTTAAGGTTCCGACCAGACCTCAACGCCCAAGCGGGAAATCCCTAGCAGCCCTGGCAGGCATTTTACCAAAATAACAGTTCGTCAGATAGGCATAGTGGAGCCAAAAGTTTCGCGTGGCAGAACAGAACGAATAATTGCGATTCGACTATTGTTTCAAAGGCAGAAAAGGCTCCCTCTTGGTTTTTTTTCTTGGGTATTGCCTTGCTGTTATTGGGCCCAACTCGATCCTCAGCATTCTAGAAGACTTCCTGAACATCGCTGCGAAACCTACAGACTGACAACCATACCTCCAACACTCCGCAGAACGCACTTGGCGGGGACATTTTCTCCGTCGAGTCCGAAGTTAGGATCGACAACTGCCATGCGACGGATTTCCTTAGTCGTGACTAGCTACCAATGGCGCATTAGAGAGCCTCTGAAGGGGTGTTGTGAAGGGCGCCGAAGATGAGCTCCATTTCCTGCTAATGTCTCCGATGCATGATGCCCATTCAGGATTGAGAAACGGCTGAGTTTGAACGGTCGACGACGGTTCGTAACAGTCATACAAATATAACCGGTTCGTCTGAGCGAAATCGCAAAATCGCAAAATCGCAATTTGTGTGGAGACTACCGGCAGCGAAACCTGGTCAAGCGCCTGGCGCTCCTGCTTCCAACCCTATGATTATTCTAGGCATCATCGCACTCAACGCGAGAGGTTGGTATTGGGTTGGAGTTAAGGGTACGCAAAGGTAGATACAGCCTTGAGAAATATTGGACAATCATCATCATCATCATCAGTATCAGTATCAGTATGAGATCTTTTATACGCTGCGTAACTCCGTGTCCCCTTCATCGGATTGTTTCTCTCACCGATGCTAGAGCTGACGCCGAATGTTTTTCCGGCCGAAGTAACTAACATGAGGCCTATCCTGTAGAACTCCGGGTGGTGTCGTCCTGCTGTTTACTCCGCCCATCCCACCACCTGAACGAGCGAACGGGACCAGGGTCAAAAATGCGATCGTCAGGGGATGTTGCATTCATGTTGAACTCAATTCCACCCGCTCCGTCATCTGTTAAGAATAGGTTAGCACCAGGATATCGAGCAGGGGATTCATGAGTGTCCCAGGGCCAGCTACCTCTGAGCCGTGCCGAGGGGTGAAGATCTATATCATGCAGAACACTTTCATACCACATCTGAGTGTAGCCTATCCCAACTCTGGAAGGCTGCTGGGAAACCAAACTGAGCCGCCAGCAGCTGGGTTCACCCCGGCGCCTGATGAGAAAGTCCCCTGCGAGCGGGACGCGGACGCCGGGAGCGCCATCCACTGCGGGAAAAAAATAAATAAATAAATAAAAAAGCACCCCATTAGCATGTGTAAGTTGGCCGATGGAGGGTGAGATCATTACTAACATAGTCTGTTGCAATGGATAATACTCATAGCATCCACCTATCTCCACCAATATCCGTAGCTCCAGCTCTAACTCCAGACTCCACGGAGCCTTTTATGCTCAACGTTAAGTCCTGCTCTTCACGGGAGCTCAAGAGAAAGGGGGATTGGAAAGAGTTTGAGTTCTCCGTGTCGGGCAGCTGTTCCTCCGCGTATCGTCTCTCGTTTCTATTTCTCTTTTCTCTTTGTTCCTTTGCTTCGTCTTCGGGCATTTGCAACTTGAACATTTCGCCTTCTGTGAGGCTGCGTTTCTTGTAGCCGGCGGCGATTTGCAAAGATATTTCACTTACATTCGGCCAAGCCTCTTGACGATATGCTCCCTCGACAGGGCCTTGTCTTGCTCGCTCTCGTCGCTTCTGACGTGCTGGCTGCGACGTAAGTGTCAGGAGTTGGTTCAGACGAAGTTATTAAAAAATGTGACATCTACTGACACTTCTAGCAGCGTTCACGGAAAGCATCACAACCACCTTAATGGTGTCATAGACAAACATCAATCGTCCAATACCACAGACGAATATGAATATGTCATTGTCGGATCTGGCCCAGGAGGGGGCCCTCTCGCATCTAGACTTGCTATTGCAGGGCACAAAGTGCTTCTGATAGAAGCTGGCGATGACCAGGGCGATTCTATCGTGTATCAGACCCCAGCTCTTCATTTGCAATCAACAGAATATGAGCCAATGCGCTGGGACTACTGGGTTAACCATTACCCCGACCTCGAACGCCAAAAGAAGGACTCCAAATTTACCTACAGGAAATCTGATGGCCAATTTCATGTCGGAGCGACTCCACCCGCAGATGCCGAACCTTTGGGGATTCTATATCCAAGAGCCGGAACTTTGGGAGGTTGCGCCTCCCACAACGCATTGATTAGTGTTTATCCCCACAAGAGTGACTGGCTTAACATCCAGACCATCACTGATGACGATTCCTGGGCCCCGGAGAAGATGCGAAAACTCTTTCAGCGTCTGGAACGCTCGCGATATATGCCTAATGGTCTTCTCGGCCACGGCTTCGAAGGCTGGTTCGAAACCAGCCTAACAGACTTGGGCCTCGTTTTGCAGGATCTCAAACTTATCTCCCTGGTCGTTGCGATTGGCACTGCCATGGGCAAAAGTGTCGGCAAAGTGATCTCAACCGTCGCTGGCTTGGCGGAGGTTTTGCTTTCTGATATCAACGTCGACACCCCGCTCCGTGACTCCACTGAGGCCGTATACCAGGTCCCCATCGCGGTCAATATTCCGGAGTATAAACGGAATGGTCCTCGCGAATTCATCCTCCAAACCGCCAATGCAGTCAACGAAGATGGGTCGAGGAAATACCATCTGGACATTGCCCTCAATACCCTTGTAACCAATGTTCGATTCGATAACTCTGGCCCTGCACCGAGAGCCGTTGGTGTAGATTTCCTCAAGGGACAAAGTCTCTACTCAGCTGACCCTCGTGCTTCTGGCGCTAAGGAAGGAATCCCAGGCAGCGCCACCGCTACCAGAGAAGTGATTCTCTCTGCCGGAGCATTTAATACGCCTCAATTACTGAAACTCAGTGGCATCGGGCCCAAGGATGAGCTGAAGAAATTCGACATCCCAGTCCTCGTCGACCTCCCCGGAGTTGGCCAGAATCTCCAGGACCGCTACGAGATGGGTCTTGTTGCAGAGACCGAAACCGATTTCCTCCTTACCTCCAAATGTACTTTCTTGACCACCGATCCAGACCCATGCCTTGAGCAGTACTTGACCGGCCACTTGGCTCTTGGAAAAGGAACTTACACCACCAACGGCCTTGCTGTCGCAGTGGTCAAACGTTCCTCTGCTGCAAGCGGTGATCCCGATCTCCTTATATCTGGCGCCCCAGCCTTCTTCCCCGGCTACTATCCCGGCTACTCCGTTAAAGGCCTTTCCGACGCTCGTCACTGGACCTGGATCCCGCTCAAAGCACACACGCGCAACAATGCTGGCACTGTCAAGCTGCGCTCCAAGGATCCCCGCGACATGCCCGAGATCAACTTCAACTACTTCGACGCTGGCGTCACGACAGACGATGCTGACGAGAAGGATCTACAGGCCGTTGTTGAGGGGATGGAGCTGTCGCGAGAGATCTTCAAGAACGTCGTGCCCATCCAGGGCAGCTTCAAGGAAGTCTGGCCTGGTACTGAGCGAGCCAATGACACCGAGAGCCTCAAGGAGTTCATCAAGAACGAAGCGTGGGGCCACCATGCCTCGTGCACGTGTCCTATTGGTGCCGACGATGATCCGATGGCTGTGTTGGATTCCAAGTTCCGCGTCCGTGGCGTTGAGGGCCTGCGTGTTGTTGATGCCTCTGTCTTCCCCAAGATACCTGGCTTCTACATTGCCGTGCCAATCTATCTGATCAGCGAGAAGGCTGCGGATGTCATTCTTGAGGCTGCCACGGACTAAAAATAAACATAAAAATTCATATAAAAAAATAAGGGTAGTCAACCAGGTTGTCATTTTATGCCTTCCCGCCATAATAACGGAGTCACCGTACATATACATTTCGCAGGGAAAGGGACTGAATTCCCTTTCCAAATGATATACCCACCCTGCTTTAGTTAATAGAAATAGGAACCTGTCTGCACTGTACATTGATTTTTGTATTCTCTATATATATTTCCTTCTAATTTAGCCACTACTATTTTCTTCCTTTCTCCTTTGCTGAGCGATGTGTGCCCTTCAATTTGAGCACAATAATCTGCATATAAGAGCCACGACTTATATTATTCAACCTGTTCAACCACACAGATTCATTGAGTGAGATACGAGTAAGTTTACGATGATGGCTCAATCCTTTCAAACTTTATTCTCGTAGAAGTGTTGGGTTTCTTAGATGAAGGCGTCAACACCTGAAGGTTCCTAGCTGTATATGCCATTAGATAAATTAACGGACTATGCTTCACCGACGTATAAGAGATTTCGTTGTTAGAGCATATTTTATGATTAAGGAGTTGCCACTGATCCCCGCCAAGATTTATATCTTAGTCATCCATTTCCAACCCTCACTTAACTAACCTACCTACATAGTCTCATTCAGCTTATGTATCAACTATCTCTCACGTACTCACTCTAGCATATTGGCTAAAGGCCCTAGGAACCCCTTTGCGTTTAATGAAACTAAATATGGAGCCTCACTCTCTGCTTCTGACGACGGGATGCCTTCAAATCTGCTCACAAGCCTTCTGCTCTGGCTTTTTCCACATCGCCTTTGCTGCCTGCCCCCCTCCATGGCAAAGACGATCTCAGATCTACGACAATGCCTCCCTATACACCGCACCTATCTCAGGTTCCACATGTACTATTATGCCTCTAATAGTTGGGTGATATCGATCTTTTGTTGTACAGCCAAGAGTAGAATTGGATTTGTATCCAATGTGGTTTCCTTTTGATTGCCATTGGTGGCGCCCCAGAGGTCAGCGAGGTGTGCAACTTCCTTCGCAATGAATGGCTGGGCTCAACAATGGTATTTTCCCATTATATTTGCCCTTCTCAGGCATCAGATGGCATGTACCTTTTCTTTTCTTTATTATGCTATACATGATACCATGAGAAGTTATCTGCATCCTCTTTTATCTGGTTTTTATTGTCATATTTTAGGCAAGTGACTCGGAGCCCAGAGACCAATCCTAGCATCGGATATCCCTTCATGAATAATGGCTTCCGCGATGCTTTGAATGATATCGCTTGAAACATCTCATATCGTCTCATCGTGGTGAGGTTTTGCGGATTCCTCGTCGGTTTCTTTTCTTCTTTTTAACGGCGTATGGACTCAACCTCAGATCGCTACCCTTTTGACTACTTATTACCTCCTGTTTTGGTTTCTGGATCTCGCGATCCAACATCTGTGCACGTTTTATTCTATTCTGTTTGCGCCTCTTTGACCATATCTACAATCCAGGGCATGGGGATCGGGACTTTTTTGGAACCATTGGTGGTTATTACACTGCTTGTGGGGGGAACATGGATCAACCGATCATCTGAGATATCCCGTCCATTTACCCACGATACAACAAGGCCTAGTTCGGTTACAAGTGATGAATTCACGGATAAAACAGTTGGCAGCGTTGAGGATGGGTTATCAACGACTACCAGTACACACGATGGATCGATGTCAACCCACTTGTACTGTTCCTTATCTCCATCTTTGCTTCTAGAGCAAGAACCGCCATGGAGAACTCGCCAGATTTGGTTGTGGTCATGGAAGAGAGAGGTTATGACGCCAAATACAGCTAAATATCGGAATCGATGTTTCAGCAGATTTCTTCGGAGATTCCCGTTTTTAGTGGAATGTTGGTACTGGACATTGGTGTATTGGGTACGTCACCTTTTGTGCTAGAGTTTAGAGAACACATGAAACTATGCCTAAATTCATATGCTGACATTATATATAGACATATCAACTTGCGCGAGCCTTCACCGCGGTCACTCTTCAAGATGCAACAGTGGACATCGCACGAAAGCATGCATTACAACTCATAAAGCTAGAGGAAAGTCTCCACATATTCTGGGAGCTACATATACAACATTATTTCCTCCACCACCCGATACTACTGACTTGTACTAATTGGCTCTACTCTTTTATTCATATACCTGGAACGATTGCTTTCCTTGTTTGGCTTTACTACTGCAGCATCACGAGAAATCGACCTGCAGACCGTTATTCCATGAAGCTCGAGGGTTATCAAAGCAATGTCCTTACAGGTTCAGAGCTCTATCAAGCTCGCAGGCGGACTCTAGCATTTTGTAACCTGCTTGCATTTGTGGTATTCACGCTGTGGCCGTGCATGCCACCTCGGCTTCTTAGCGATCGATCAGTCACTGGGTTGGTTGGTGAGTTTTCAAGGAGCTATGGATTTGTTGATACAGTTCACGGGGTTGGTGGTGCAAGCAGTGTTTGGACGCAGAACAAATTTTGTAATCAATTTGGTCAGTGTCAAGATCTACAGCCTTCCATATGTGTGGAGTCTCTTGCTCACCCTTTGTTCCTCTACTTACTTTTAGCCGCCATGCCATCTCTACATTTTGGATATTCGCTGATGATCGGAATCACTATAACAACCATTCCGCTTCCTTCTGAGCACACTCGATCCCGAGCCTTACTACCACATTTTCTCAACTTTTCTCTCCCTGGCCTCGCCTCCAAAATCCGCCCCCTAGCTTGGGAGCGCATCGTAGCTATTGTTGTCGGGATTACGTACCCGTTTACCATTCTCGTTGCGATAGTGGCAACCGCTAACCATTTCATTCTCGATGCGTTTGCCGGCGCGATTATCTGCGGGTTAGCATGGTGGGGAAATTCTGTCCTTTTAAACCTCCTTCCGTTGGAGGATTATCTTTTTTGGATATTGAAGATTCACAAGCCGGAGCAAGGGTCTCACTGTCTACGCCCTTCGCTAGTTTTTGATGATTGTGATGGAGACCACGTCAAAGATGCTATGAATTACTAAATTACGCACAAGTCCCTTTTTTGACTTTTTCATTACGCTTTTTTGTTTTTATTGGTTATTCGCTCATTGGTTATTATATCCATGCGACTAGATATACCATTCGCCGCCTGTGGATGTTTCACTCTTGTTATTTTTGTCAGGTTCAGCAGATTTCCTGGTGGGTGAGAATTTGTTGGTTAGGACCTGATACTGTATCATTATCAGAAGCCCCAACAGCAACTTCTCCCCATGTTAATGTTGTCATCTGAAAATCCGAGCATGCTGCCCTGTTTCTGTGATTCTTTTTCTGTATGCCTGGCTGATGTATAGTATTTCTTGTTAGTCCTAGGATATGATGCCACCCTTTTCATTGTTCTTCTCTCAATTGACGTGTTTGCTCCACTGTCTGGAAACGAAATGACTGCCACAGAGCACCGCTTGTTCTATACAGGTTTGGTTATCTTTTAATCATGTCAGCTAGGTGCGTGATGCGCACAGTTCAGGGATTTCTTGTGTGTCTTGGAAAAAGAAGGGGGAAAAAAACTTCAAAACCTAAAAAGTTCAACGGCTCGTTTTCTCCTGCGAGAGTTTTTTTCCTACGGCAGAAATTCCTCCCCCACCACCTCCTGGCGCCTGCTGCTTGCTGCCCGGTGCTCAGGTAGCGGTGGATGGAGGACACAGACGAGCTTGCTCTGCAAGTACACCGCAGAAATTCGTACCCGGATACGACCTGATTGATTTCCCTTGAGGTACCCCACACTGGCAGGGGTCGGGATCTGGTATGGCAAGCCTCTCTCGAGCACCAAGCAAGGCAAGAGGATGGATGGATGGATGGACAGTTCGCGGGAAGGAGGTGGATGTAACTTGGTGATCCTTTTCGCTTCTGCTTGGTTTGGCTATGTAGGTTTTATTTTTATTTTTATTTTTTTCAAAGTCTTGATACCCTCCACGTTGCTAGGATGAAGAATGAGCGGGAAAGGAGAAATGAGGATGGGAAGAGAAATGGAGGAAGAAGGGAAGGGAAGGGAAGATGTGGAATAAATTCCAAATGTCTTGTCATCTTTGAGTTAAGGCTACCTTGGTAAGGTCGGTCGGTGGTAGAAGACGTTCATGGGTGAGGGAGTTTCTTTCCCAGCTGGCTGCTAGTAGTCTTTGTCTGCACCATTTTTCATTCAGCGAACAAAAATCGGGCGGCGTGCTCCATGCGCGTATTCGCACGTCCTGTTCTGGAAAATGCCACGGCCAAATCGTAGTAACCAAACTACAAGCAGCTTGTATTTTTTCGATTCAGACGAACGAAGAGCTCAGACGGTTGTTTAGATATGTTTTTGATAACTCTGGTTTGAGTCTGTTATTTTGTTTTATTTATTTCTTATTTATTTATTAAATGAAACACTTATTGTATCTGAAGCAGATTTTAAAAGAGCTACTCTTGCAACTCCAGAAATGACGTTTTAAGAACTGGCTAAATAAAATGAATAGACAAGTACATAATAGATAGAGTAAATAAATCAAACAAGTTCTCTCTCTCTCTCTCTATATATATATATGAGCGGTAAAACGGGAACGAACACAGCATTCAGAGCTCTCAGATCATGGATGGGAGGGAAGGGAAGGGAGGGTAAGCGATGGCTTGACCATTAAATAAAGCGGGCTGATGCTGCTCTATTTCCTCCTCGCATCATCATCATCATCATCCCTTCATTCCCTCTCCTATCTCACTCAACTCAGTGATCTGTTACTGCGTACTCTACTACGGGTTCTTCCAGCTGGTGGCCTGCTTGGATAAAAGAAGACCAGGTCTTTTTTTCTACGATAATTCCAGGATTCCTCTACAGTTACCTGCTATATACTTCTGTGGTTGCATCTATATATATACCCCTCTGTGAGCAAGCAAAAAATCTAAAGAGGGGAGGAGATATTGATCATATCTCTCTGCCTGCCTGACTTTCTACTGGATTTATTGCTTTTTGTTTCTGTTGTTGCTTTACTGTTGGTTTTTCTTTTTTTTTTTTTTTTTTTTTTTGGTCAAAAGGAAAGGTTCAAACGGGGCTGTATTGAACACAGCAACCCTTTTACTTCATTGTACTTGAGATTTTTCTATTCATTTACTATTTTTGAAAGTTTGAAAGAGCTTGGGGATTTTCCTAGCAGTGACGAGAGAGATAAAAAAAAGAGGGAAGAAACCGAAGCTGTGAAGGTGAAGCCCCTCCATTTATTATTATCCCCCTTCGTTGTGGTTGTGAATCACTCCAATCCAGGGCAGATAAAGGGAGAAGAAGCCCTCTCTGGAATTCGAACAATACCCTCATACGAATTACTTAGCCAAGGCTAAATAGAGAGCAGAGCAGACTGCTGTCTCATCTCTGAGATCTATCTATATCTATATATCTATCTTTCTGTCGTTGTGGTGGTTTCTTCTTCTTCTTCCTCTGCTGGTCGCCCCCCGAGTCTTGCCGCAGCGCCCTTTCCACACACGCGTTTCTTGTCTCACGCCACGATCTTCACGCACCCAAGGAATCATAATATTATCCACCGCCAACTCCCAACGCCAAACACACAACTCTCTCGCCCTCAACTCCCTCCACCCATTAACCCGCCCAATCCACCCCGTCGACCACCCCTTCGCCTGGCCATCATCGCCTTTCTTCTCACGCCCTACGCCAGCTCTCCTATTCTTTTGTTCTCCATCTGCTCTGTTTTCTCTCTACCATGGCAGAGGATGCAAACCCCGCCGCATCCCGAGGCGACTCGGTCCCCGAGACTACGCCATCAGCAAACGCTGCTCCCAATACTCCTGGGTCTCCACGCCCTGAGAAAGATGAGCAGGCCGATGTAAAAAAGCCTGAAGACGCGTCGGCCGGTAAGCGCTCCTGCTTCATCCTCCTGCCCCTTCCCTACGTTGTATTCCGCCAACCCCCCTATTATTCCCTTTTGTTGGAGAGACGGAGTACCCTCTTTCTTTACCTCTTCTGCTGACCTGTCGCTGTCGACGTGCAAGGAACAGATGCTGCGGCTTCTGAAAAACCCGAACCCGCTGCTACGGACGCCTCAACAGACGCTGCCAAGCCTGGGTCAGCCGCTGAAACACAAGAGCAAAAGACGGACGACAGTGCTGCTCCGGCGGAAGAGACTGCTGAAACCGCTTCTCCCACCGCAGATCGCGCCAACGGGACACCCGCTGCGTCTAAAAAATCGAATGCCGCAAAACGCAAGTCAACCGGGGGCGACACCAAGGGGAAGAAATTGAACAGGAAGAAGTCTTCTGCTCGAATTACACACCTCGATGCCAAACCTGGAGAATACTACATGGCTCGTCTGAAAAGCTACGCTCCCTGGCCATCGATAATCTGTGATGAGGAGATGCTACCGCCCTCACTTTTGTCGACGCGTCCGGTTACTACGAAGCAGCAGGATGGCACGTACAGGGAAGCTTACAGTGATGGGGGCAAACGGGTGCACGAGCGCACGTTTCCCATTATGTTCTTGTACACTAATGAATTGTGAGTGGAGTTCTTTTCCTTTTTTTGGCCTTTTTCCCCAATGTCCCTCAGCTGGAATTAATGCGCTGGGCTCTTCCAACCACCCCCCCCCCCCCCACCCCTTCCGCATGGTATGATTACTGGATTAGAAAATATCGGAAGTACGAGCTAAGAGAAATTGATATGTTTTCAGCGCCTGGATTCCAAACACAGACCTCACACCCCTCGACCCAGAGTCCTGCAAAGATGTAAATGAGAAGGGAAAAACGAAGAACCTGATTGAAGCCTACCACGTAGCTGCCGAGAACCATGATCTTCAATACTTTAAAGATATGCTTGCCGACCATCAGCGGGCATTGGAGCAGGACCAAGAGGAACGTGAAGCTCGCGCGGCAGCAAAGGCAGCGAAGCAAGAGAAGAAAAAGCGGAAGAGCATGGATGTAGCTGATGAGCACGAAGACGAGGCAGCAGAGACAGGAGCTGAGAAACGAAAGACCACGAAGAAACGGAAGAAGGATGGTGAGAGCGAAGCTGAGAGCGACAAGGTAAGCAGATGTCCCCGAAATTTTGTGGAGTTACGATTTCTCGATCGCATACCTTCGGGCGCGGCATTTTGGGTGGTGCTTTGAGTGCTTTGATGGAAAGGACAGGTGGCTAATGGGGATTCGTTTTGTTTTTGGTCGCACACAACACAGCCCGCAAAGACCCCGAAAACTGCCACTAAACTTAAGTTGACCACGCCCAAGACTCCCGCGACCGGTGAGCCAGGCAAGAAACCTGCAGCCAAACCAGCTAAAACGAAGGCCACCAGTGCCAAAAAGAGCAAAAAGGAAACAAAGGCAACAAGTGATGAAGATACTACTGAAGCTCCAAAGGAAGCTGAGGTTGAGAAGCCGATTGATCCACAGGAAGCGAAGCTGAAGAAGGAGAAAGAAGGTAAAACATTTTATCTATCATCATCCATTGCCCCGGTTTAATTTTTGCTCTACGATATTATTTTCTACATCAGTTCCAACACATTTGCAGCACCAAAGAGCTGTGCTGACCTGATTCCCAACAGTTCTCTATCTTCGCCACAAACTCCAAAAAGGGTTCCTCACACGTGACCAGGCTCCCAAAGAAGAGGAAATGGCGTCAATGTCTAACTTCATCCAGAAACTGGAATCATATGTCGACCTTGAGGTCAGCATCATCCGCACAACCAAGATCAACAAAGTGTTGAAGGCCATTATCAAATTGAACTCGATCCCCAAGGACGAGGAATTCAATTTCCGCGGCCGCTCCATAAACATCCTGAACAAATGGAAGACCCTGCTAGATTCTGATATCCCCCCGCCAAAGGAGAAGGAAGAACAGGAGCCTGAGCCTAAACCAAAGGCAAATGGCCACAACCAGGTCAATGGGCGGAAGGCGGAAGAGGTGACTGAAGGGGATGATGAGGCTGCTGGTGGTACTACTTCCACTCCCCGAGCGGATGAAGATGAGCCTATGCCAGATGTCCCAGCGGAAGTAGGGGCCAAGGCCCATGGTGAGAGGTCAGGTTCGTCTCCTGCTGAAGGGGAAGCGGAGGCTGTGGAGGCTTGAGGCATAATTTGTTACTTGATTTCTGGAGCTTTCTCCTGCCCATTTCATTTTTCCTCTAAATTTTATTTTATTATATATTTTATTTTCTTGTGTCTAGTTTCGTTTGTTGTTTACCTTTTGCCTCGTTTGTGCGTGTGCTTTTGAAGTAAGAAGTCCGAGTCTGAGTGAGTGAAACCCGGTTTTCACGAGATTTTCACTTTATTTTATTATTATTACGTTTTCATTCCTCTTTCTTCCTCTGTTATTATTATATTTCTCATTTTTTCCAACTTCCCTCGCCATCCGATAACATCAAGGATGTACAGGTGTATTTTCTGGACAGGTTATGTGACTCCGTCTAGTTGGGCAGTGCGAGGGAGATGGGTCATGGATTATATGGAATGCTCCATGACAGATATAGGAAGACGGTTTGGGGGTAAGTTGTTTTCAAAAAGCAACCATCAGTCAGGATTACGTATGGGAGATTTCTTCATGCGCCTGTCCAACGGGTGTGATGGGGCAAAATGTGACCGCCAGACCAACGAGAAAACGAAGTCAGCAAGGATGAAAGAAGGGAAAGAGAAGTGGATAATAAAAAGTAGCTCCGGGGTTAGGGGCAGGGGAAAGGCATTTTGCTTGTTTGCCAGTTTGCTTGGTTGGTTGGTTGCGATGGGATGGTGTGTTTTGAGAAAAGAAAAAAAAAAAATTTGTTTTTGCATTAGCAAAAAGGTAAAGCGAAAGCAAAATTGAAAGTAAAACAAAAAAGAAAAAAGAAAAAAAAAAATAATAATAATAGGTTGCATTTGAAAAGAAGTAAGCTTGATTAATATAGGTGAGGAGGCAAGAGAAAAAATATTAGGTGTGTTCATCTTTTTATTTTATTTTACTTTGCTGTCTCTTTTTTCTCTTTCTTTTTATATATATTTTTATCTTCAACGATTTCCTGTTTCCTGTTTCATTTTCTTTGTTTTTTCTCCCCCCCCCTCCTTTTTTTGCAACCAAAAAAATACCCTTCAACTGAAATGGAACTGGGATAATATGGCGGTGGTTTTTGTGCGGCATTTTGGGCTTTCTACTTTTTCCTCTATTGTTTTTGTCTCCTCTCTTATTTATCTCTTTTCCCCTTCATTATTAACTCTTGAATTACATCCTCACTTTCTGAAGTTATATCTGTGTACAGTCGCTGTGCCCCCTTTCTTTTCTTTTCTTTTTTTGGTTTATCTTGTGATTTAACTATTTTCATCAATTCTGAAAACGCGTTTTTTGTTGCCTATTGTCCTACGCAAGCCATCAAAGGAACAAATACCGATTGATCTATTATGGCCTCATAGTTGATTTTACTATGGCTCCTTCTGGCAGTTTTCCCCCGGTCAAAAGACAGGTAAATTTCTTGTCTATGTGTGAATAAACCCTAAGAGAGAACCACGAGTTGCTTGGTTGCTTCTCTATATAATAGACAATAAAACGCTCCACGAAAAATACATTCAATTCAGCTCAGATCAGACAATTGTTTTGAAAATATCATAAGAAATTGTAGTCTTGTCTTGCGACACTGACTCCCCTCCCTCACCCCCTCTAATTATATGTAGGAGGAAACAATGATGTCCCCCTAAATTGTCCCAGCTTGCATAGATTTCCCCATTGTTCATGATCAGGAGGATACCTGGCCACGGACCCGTAGGGCTATTTGTAGAGGTATTAAGCCGGTTCACGTTCATCGCCAGAGATAACTGCGGTGGAGCTCAACTGAGATGCTTAGGTGGGCGGCTTCGATTGAGGGATCAAATTGAATCACTGGCGTATTACTTGTTAGTACTTGGGTACCGGTACCTTCGTAGATAGGTTACTAACAAGTCATGGATGTTCACCCTTGCACCCCCATGGCGGATGATTCGAAGATCACACGAAGTATAGGTGGAGGAAATGTGGGAATGGCTGACTTGATAGCTGGCATTCTAGACCGATGGTATCAGAGCGGAAATATTATACATTAAGTGATGAAGAGCGTGAAGCCGAGAGACAAAACGAGTCGAGGAAGAAGTTTTAAGGGGTTGTCAAGCTTGATATATATAGGAAGGCTTCAACCAGCAGCCCCAAGCTTTGTTCTGGTTCCTTCCATATCAGTTCCTGTGGAGATACATCCCATGGGCCAGGAAGGTGCCATGGCCATATCGCGCGCACCTGCCATCTCTCGCATATCTTTTTCATCCCACGCGAAAGAACCAGACGTCGACACGTGAAGATATTGATAAGACCCGGATGGCCTTCCTTTCTTTTTGTTGAACCCGGACTTGCGGTGCACGGCGGTGGGTGCTAAATGCCAGCCAGGCCGTATACTGTCCTCGCGCTTTGAGCGCATGTCACGGAGGTATGTTGTGTCAATGCGGATCGGCCGGAAGGGGCAGATTATTTCGGTCCAAACCTGTTAGTCGCTGCAGTGTGATCCGTGCGATGTACCATACAGGGGTATATATCTAATAAAGTATTGGTATGAATACGTCTCCTATGGAGTCGCCCAGCGCACATGAGGAGCTCTGTGAAAGGATAGGGCACAGGCGGCAGTGAGCCCCCCTGCTTCATCGGAAACGAGTTAATCAGGCAATCTTCCGCCCAACATTTCCTATTCCTCTGCCAACAACGCTAATGATCACGTCCCCTGAGTCATTTTCTCCAGGTGCGTCCCTGATTCCCCACCCAGGAGTACCGAATTTATTTAGGTCCCTGGCGAACTGGACCATGGACTCATCCGCGATGACATCCCTTCCCACTTGCAGTCTTCCTACGTCTTCAGAGCCCATCGCCATCAGCGTTATCATCGTTGGAGCCGCAGCCTTCGAGACACATCCACCCACTGAGACGGACTCTAGGAGTTGGTACGCACACCGTTTCCCGATATCTTCTGGGGGTTCCCCACCGGTGGGTAACGAGGCCACATCAGCGGAAAATAAACAACCCGTGGAGGACTCAGCGACTAAAGACAGCCCAAACCCAAGGCCCATCTTCTTTTTGTTAGAAGGGTTATCTCTGGTCGGTGCAGCGACTAAAGGCGCCGAAGAGACGTCTGAAAACACATAGGTATCGGGGCAAAGGGGGTTCAGGATGCCTCTCGCAACTTCAATCATCCTGGCGTTATGAGATCCAGATACGCCTACAGCATATGCCACACCACGTATTTTCTTTATTCTACCGGGGTTTAGCAAGTGTAGCGTCTTCGGAAGTCGAACCTGGTGACCGAACACCAGCTGAACCTCTCCTCCTCCACCTTTTCCATTTGGGCCGGGATTTGACCGTTTCAACACACGCAGCTCGATATTGTTGAAAATGCCAAATTGAGAAAATAACGGAAGAATAGCAGTCCGCACACTATCGACAGACATATCGCCGGTTGGGGTGGAGGAGGTAATGACACCAGGACCGGTGAAGAGGATATTAAACTGTGCTTTGGAGAATGGCGCAAGGAGGCACATTGGTAATAAGAAATAACTAATGCCGCGAGCACAGTTGGAAGGGATCTCATGCTTTATCACACCCCCGCTTGCACCAGACCCGGGTGCGCTCCCTGTTATAAGCCCCGGTTTGTAGAGAACGATGGTTCCAGTGTAGGAAATTTCCATGTGTGAGCCATTGGTAACAGCTTCGAGGAGTCGTAGAAATGAAATCTCATGGGGAGCAAGCCCCGTATGGATGGGATCGGACGGCCGGATTTGAGATATATGAACCGGACGCCCAGTGAGGGTCGAGAGAACAAGGCGGAGTGCAAGCTGGCGATGGGAGGTGAACCGCAGAGGGGGTTGCGGAGTAGCCATGGTTTGTGTAAATTGGAGACTGGACCGAATAGCTGCTATCGGGGCATGAGAAGGAAATTGTCTGAGAGTATATATATAAATATTCAATTATCGAAAACCTGCTCGCTCCTGAAATCGATCTTGTTCACATCCACAGGAGCCAATATCAAAATCCTGGCGTTGCGTTTTTGACAGTTCAAAAAAATATATAAAAATATGGGTGGATAAACATTTATCCGAATTCTGACGGGGACCGGTATGGAGTATATGCGTAATACCGAACCTTATCCTTATGGCATACAAATAGCACCCTTCAACCGCTGTAACTAGCGTATTTCCATGACACCGCGGGGAGACAAACCTCCGAATTTCATAGATATAACAGAGTTGGATCTGGAAAAGCAGCAACAGAAATTTGACATGGCCAAAAACTGCCTTTGACTCAGTGCGAATTGCATCTCTGTCTCCTGGAACTGAGATCTCACTGCCCGTACATAAATCGAAATCGATCGCCAACTCCTGACCTATTCCACTCCTTTCTTTACACAACCCAACCCTCCGTTTGCCCGCATCGGACATTGCGGGGGATCCGCACTCCAAGCTACCAGCTACAATGCTCCCGCCAGCGCTCAACCTGCCGCAATGGTAACCCATCCCACTATACATATTTAAATACATGCACATGCCCCGCCCAATAAGAAAGAAGACAAAAAGAGGAAAAAAGAAAAACAAAAAAAAAAAAAAAAACCAAGAAGAAAGAAGAGAAGACAAGCAGCAAGCGCCATTCCACCCACACACTTCATTTTTAACTAACCCCCCTCATCTCATCTCACAGGCTCTCCCAAAACGCCCACCTCCTCCAACCCCCCGTGAACAACTACTGCGTCTACCACCCTTCCTCCCCCGCCACCGAGGGCTACACCGTAATGGTCGTCGGCGGCCCCAACGCGCGCACAGACTACCACATCAACAGCACGCCCGAATTCTTCTACCAGCACCGCGGCGCCATGCTCCTCAAAACCGTCGACACAACCACCGCCCCGCCGACCTTCCGCGACATCCCCATCCACGAAGGCTCCCTGTTCCTCCTGCCGGCAAACACGCCGCACTGCCCCGTGCGCTTCGCGGACACGGTGGGTATTGTCGTCGAGATGCCGAGGGCGGCCGGGGCGGAGGATGTCATGCGGTGGTACTGTGGCGGGTGCAAGGGGGTGGTTTGGGAAAAGAGGTTTGTGTGTACGGACCTGGGCACGCAGGTTAAGGAGGTTGTGGAGGAGTTTGCGGCGGATGAGGGGAAGAGGACATGTGGGGGCTGTGGGAAGGTGGCGGCTGTAAGGTATGCGGAGGGGGAGGTGGTGCAGCCGGGGAGGTTTCCGGAGTGAACGACGGGGGGATTGGGGTTGCGGAGATAGGTAGGTTTGGGAAGAAAAGGGGAGGGGGAGGTGGTTGTCAAGATTTATCAGATCAGCCGGCTGATTGATATTTTCGTTGGTTATGATGGGCCGTGAAATCGAAGTTGAAGTCCCAAGTCTATGAATTTCTATTGCTATACCCCGTTCCGCAACTTTTTGAACTTTACTAAACTTATCTGTAAGTTGTGTTTATTTCCATTATTATGTTGGAAAGGCAACACACTTTTGGACTTTATAATCTTGGAATGTTCCGTCCGACCTAAGAATCACTCGTTAGGAGGAATACATCATGGGAGAAAGGCGGCAGCAACGAGTAAATAGTAGTTAAAGAAGAACCTTAGATGGAATGAATTGGATAGCTTTCGCACTGATGCTGTAAAGTTGGGATATACCATTGGAGCTAGGTCGGGATGCCCGAGAACGTAACTTGGGAGAAGACGGCTGATGCTTAGTCCAACACTAAGATATATTCCGAAGGTTTGGTATGTGATAGGACATGAAAGAGCCGAAGGGTTGTTGGGGAAAGCTAGCGATGGGTTGGTATTATATATACAAATATATAGAAAATAGGGCAAGGAATTACAACAGATTGTATAGAACAAAAAAGGAAAGATAATAGAAAAATAATGAGAAGGGAGAGGAAAAAATGAAATAGAAAGATAGAAGAACAGAGAATAGTGGTTTGGGGTTGTAGATGTAGAATTCATTGAGGGTTGATGGTGAGAAGGAGGGGCGGGCCATAAAAAAAAGGTACAGGAATAAGAAGTGCAATAATTAGTCACTGTCAGTTGAAATACATCAATCAGCATTAAATGGCCACAAGCATAAAAAAAATATAAAAAAAAAAAAAAAAAAAAAAAAAAAAAAAAAAAAAAAAAGCGCAGAAGATGAAAGCACCGAAAGGCCTCCGAGTCAGGGAGATAAGAAGGGAGGGTTCGATTCCACAACGATACAAAAAAACAAAAAGGGAAATTACTCTGCAATAAATTCCGCACTGGACCATGGATGACATTTCGCGAAAATGGGAGAAGACACGAGACGACAGGAAAAAGGGAGGATGGGGATATATAAAACCCGTAGTATCCCATCACACTCCTCAGCACGGCGAGCTCATGACCTGAATACTCCAAGCCGCTCACTTAATTCATTTAGGCATCGATTCCCGTTTAGGGATCTCAGAATGGAAGCCAAAAAAATCTAATCCTCAAACGGACAATCGATACTCTCATGCCCATCCCGTTCGCAGAGCGCACACCACTTCGACTCATCAATGACGCCGGACGCCTTCCCCGCAACCGGCGACATAGACGCCGTCAGCCCGCTAATACCCTTCAGTCCCTCCAGCACTACATCGCGCCCCGTCCGCTGAGAGCTGGGGCTTCCGCCAGCGTTGAGGTTATTATTATTGGTATTGTTGTATCCATTTGTCGTTGTCATTGTTCTTAAGTTATTTTGTTGGTAGGGTTGATGATGGCTATTGCCGCTGAAACTGTTGTAGGTATTATTGTTGTCGTAATTGCTGTTGCTATTGCTATTATTATTGGTGGTGTTGTTGCCGGTATTTGCAACTGACTTACCCGCCGCGTTCGCATTCGCGGCAGCGGAACCAAACATATTCGTGCAGGTCAGGATATCATGGCCGCTCGTTTCGCAGATCTCACACCAGAGCGCGCCGCCCTCATCTGTGCTTGAGGAGCGCGAGTCGGATTCCTGCATGCTCTCGAGGTGCTGCTGGTGGCGGACGGGTTCGTTGCGGTGCGGTGGGGAGAAGTGGGGGTATTGGCTATGGCCATTGCTGTTTCTGGCGGGTGGGGAGGTGGTGTCGTGCCAGTCATTAGGGACGACGGTGCGATCGGAGAGGGTGTGGGTGTGGTTGGGCCCACCCATGCCGCTGCCCGTGCCAGCGCTGTTATGTCGCTGTTGTTTGAGTGGTGAGGTGGTTATGGTACCGCTGCGGTTGCGGCTGGGACGGTTCTGGTCGAGCTCGCGCTCCAGTTCTTCGATGCGGTAAGATTTGCGCTCCGTAAGGCTTTCAAGCTCCTCGATGCGACGCTCCAGTCTAGCGACGCGGTCAGCGTCCTGGTGGTCTCCGTTATTGGCAGATCCACCATTCATCTGCGCGAGGCCGGGAGGTTCGCCCCTGCTGAGGGAATGGATGATGGCTTTTAGGCCGCGTATTTCATCATCCTTTTGGTCTAGGTCCTTGGAACTGGCATACCCATCGCCCCCGGCTCCTTTATATGAGGAAGATGGTTTCTCCCTCTCCTGCTTCAACTCTAGCCTAGTTCTCTCAACCTCACCCCTGAGGAACTCCACTTCTCCTCTTGCCTCCGCCTCACCCCTGCGAGCGTCTTCAAGACCTTCCTCAAGTTCTGAAACCAGTTCCTCCAACTGTTTAAGCTGCCTTGCAACGGTTTCAACATCCTCACTACGATCTTGTAGTTCCCTATTAGCCTGCATCAACTCTTCTAGTCTTCTCTCGTAGACCCTCTCAGTCTCCGATGCGGCCACTTCCAGAGTATCCAGGGTGCTACGAAAGTCTGCGCGGTGGCTATCGAATTCCGCCGTGAGAGCCGCAATCTTCTCGTTTTTCTCGCGGAGTTGTGCCCGCACTTGTAGCGCATCCAGACCCTCTAGCTCTGTAATACTCTTTTGAAATTCCGCGAGAGTCAACGCCTGTTCTTCCAGCTGCTTATCACGATCTCGCAATTGTTTCTCTAGAAATTTGATCCTATCCACGGACTCACTATCGTCAAACGCGGGTGTTCTTATGTCATGCCGCCTTACTGAGCCGGGGGTGTTAATGCCGCTTTCTACGCTAATTCTGGATGACGGGCGGCTGGGTGGACGGGTAGTCTTGAGCGGCGTTCGAGGAACGCCTCCATGGGCAGAAGTGCTCCTGGAAAATGCGGACGGTGTTCGTAGAGCGGTCAGGTTCAATTTCGGTGGAGGGGCCCGCGGGGATTCAGGTCGTGGGAGGGATGGGCGTCTGAACTTGGGTCTGTTTACAGACAGCGGGCCAGGGCCTGCGCCTGGGCCGACAGATTTGCTAAAGGGGGGCTTGGAGGGCGTGGGCGGTGTGCTGCCCATGGATGCAGTTCGTTTGGAGACATATCTGTTATTATTCATGGGCACGAAGATGCCGGAGCCTGGCTGGGAGGTGGTGAAGTAGCTCCGGCCTTCGACGTCGCCGTTATTCTTCCCTCTCCCGGCGTGTTCTGGGGCCAGCTCAACACCAGCAAAGCGGCCAGGTTTGCCGGCGACGGGGCCTAGGAATTTGACAGTGCCGTACATGCCCCCTGGCACGTTCACCAGGTCTCCGACCTGGATGTCGTCAAGGGGCGCCATAATCGTGTCGTGATATTTGTTTGTGTAAATAAAAGCTCCGGTGGAGCAAATAACTAGTTAAAGAGGGCAGGGATGGGGTGGTTTAAGAGAGCCGTAGCAGCATGTCAGGCGTAGGGTTGAAAGAGAGAGAGAGAGAGAAAGTAACAATCAAGAAAGATAAGAGAATGAAAGAAGAGGGTCGGAATGATACGTAGACGGCGGTGTTGAAGGAGAGAGAGAGAGAGTCATTCGAGGGGAGAGAAGAAGATGAAGATGAAGATGAAGATGAAGATGAAGAAGAAGAAGAAGATGATGATGATGATGATAATGAAGATGATGAAGAAAGGAGGGAGGAAGCCGTGTTGATTGGGTGATGGTTTGAAGACGTAGTTAACGATATAAGTAAATAAATAAATATTTAATAGTTTCTTTTCCTATCCTATTTATTTATATATAACTATTTAATGCATAAATACATCTCGGGAGTCGACTATAGAGATAGAGAGGAACAACTCAATTCAATAATGTATATTTATTAATATTTATATAATAAATAGTATAAATATTTAACTATAGATATAGAAGACACCAGATCAGATCTCGTCCATCTAAATATTTCATTTCCCCTTAAATACTTAACCTATTTATTCTCCATTGATTCCAACTGGCCGTTAGTTAACTTATTTATTTAAATATTTAGCTCAGCGCGCATATAAATATATCATAAATATCGTATTTAAATATATTCGCACCTCAGCCTCAAAACGAAGCATCCAACCCCTTCACAACATCTGAGTAAATATCACCGGGCAAACAGATCAGCTCATTCGCAACCAACTCTGCTTCATGATTAATCGATCTAAATATCTCTAATTCCTCTACGTGCCAGTTGTTCTCAATTCTCTTTGTTTGACCGTGGAGCCCGTTCCGCCATCGTCATTACACCTGCATACCGATCTATCTAACATCCATCGACGCCCTCGCGTTTCTTACACTCCTCATATCCACTCCGCTTCATAGCCAATCGCAGTCATGTCGCAATACTTCTTCGATCTTCTCTACACCTTCACAGACTGCATGTGCTGTTTCCCCAACTCCCCGCAGCTCAAAATTAACAACAGGAGTTTCAAGCTGTTGCGGTTGCTAGGAGAGGTGTGTAACTGCTATATATATTATGTAGATGGGATAAGATTAGATGATGAAGATAGTGGGAACTTCAAAAGACCGACAAAAACTAATCCCACTTATTCATTCAGGGCGGCTTCTCCTACGTCTACCTCGTTCAGGACAAAAACACCGCAGAGCTCTTCGCCCTCAAAAAGATCCGCTGCCCCTTCGGCCAGGAATCCGTCTCCCAAGCCCTCAAAGAAGTTGAAGCATACACCCTCTTCTCCCCAAACAGATACATCATCCACTCCATCGACTACTGTGTCTCCACCGAATCCGGCTCTAAATTCCGCGCCGATGGCGGTGACCCAGGCTCCAAGACCGTCTACATTCTTCTCCCGTACTACCAGCGCGGCAACCTGCAAGATGCCATCAATGCTAATCTGGTCAACCACACCTCGTTCCCGGAGAAGAAGCTGATGACCTTCATGCTCGGCGTGGCCAAGGCGCTCAAGGCGATGCATCAATATCGCGTCAGAGGTGGTGCGGGTGCGGTGAAGAAAGCGAAGATGGTTAGGAATGAGGCAGACGCAGCGGATGCGGACGCGGCGGCATCTCGTGGACGGCCTGCAAGAAGAAACACTCGTCGCGATAGCGATGACACGGAACACGAGCCGTTGATGGATGGGGAGGTTACCATTAGCCAGGAAGGGGTGGATGAGGGTGGTTTCCGCCCATATGCGCACAGAGATATAAAGCCAGGTATTTTTTATTTCAACCAATGCGCTTTTTTTTTTTCTTTTTTTTCTTTTTTCTTTTTTTTTTTTTTTGGCTACAATACAGAATTTAATAAATAGAAAACAAATAAATAAATCAAAAAACTAACAATTCCCACAAAAACCAGGAAACATCATGATTGATGACGACGGCCTAACCCCCATCGTCATGGACCTAGGCTCCCTCGCACCAAGCCCCATCGCCATTACCTCCCGCTCTCTCGCCCTCGCCGTCCAAGATACAGCCGCCGAGCACTCCACAATGCCCTACCGTGCCCCAGAACTCTTCGACGTGAAAACCGGCTCCATCATCGATACCAAGGTCGACATCTGGTCGCTAGGCTGCACCATATATGCCTGTCTGGTGGGTAAAAGCCCCTTCGAGGCCCGTAGTGACGAGACCGGTGGTAGTTTGAGTATGTGTGTGTTGGGTGGGGACTGGAGGTTTCCGGATGAGGACCAAGACCAAGGGCCGAAGGGGAAGGGGAAAGGGGTTGTGGGCGTTGGCGCTGGCGCTGGCGCTGGGGAAAGCGAAGGGGAAGGGAGTGCTTCTGCTGCTGCTGCTACGGGCGGTTCACCGGGTAAAAAAGGGGGGATTAGCGAGGCGTCAAAGGAGGTGGTGAGGAGGTGTTTGCAGGTTGAGCCGGCGGATCGACCGGATGTTGATGAGTTGATTGAGCTTTTGAAGGCGACTATTGAGGAGTTGCCGGATGATGAATGAGGTGGTTGTTGTGTTGGGGTTATTTTTGTGTTTTGAGTCTTTTATGTCCTTCTTCTCGTTTTGGTCTCCCCCAATGAAGGAAGGGTTGTTGTTATTTTGGCTCTGGTGCTCCTTTTTCCTTTCCTTTTTCTGAAGCGAAACCTTTCTGGGGAATTTTCGCGAGTTCACGTTCTTTTGCTTGATCATTTTAGGGAGATCTTCTTGATGTCTTTTTGGCCTGTTATGTTTTCCCGCTGTTTTCTTCCTTTCTTTTTCTTCCTTTCTCTTTCTTTCTTTCTTTTTTTTTTTTTATCCAAAGCTTTTGGGACCGGTTATGTGCTAGATGTACGCTCCAACGATTATTTTGCCTTCTTTCCCTCCCTGTCTATCTGCATTGCTTGTTCATCCTCTATTTCTTTCTTTCTCTCTCATCCCTCTTGTCTACAGATGTTCACATGTATATCTACTCTCGCAATGTTCTCCTGGACGTCGCGGATATTAGACAGGCAACCATCTAAAGCCCCGCAAAGCGGGACAAAATAACTATTTCTTTATAATTTAGAAGGGACAAGTAAGATGCAGCGGATTGTAGCTTGGAACGAATTTTATCGTAATATCATGTAGCTCATAAATTTGACTTTCTAGTTTCTTAAGATATGTCGTCTGAGTTTATGGATGGGTTCTCCCAGACCCCCCTTTGTCCTTTCTTGAGAAGAGATTTCTTTCATTGACGCATTTAAAAAGCCCCCCGCGAAAATAGCGGAATCCAAACACCATCCTCGTTAAAATAACCCCATGCCAAATCACAAAACTGAGCCCCTACTCCGTCACCGTCAACGTCGCCATATTTCTCACAATCGCTCCCTCATTCCTCGCCGGAAACCCATCAGACCCATCCTTATCCAACAACAGCGGCAACCCAACATGTTTATTAATCCAATTAAGCACTGTCCGATACCAAACAAGCGAATTCTCAGGCTTAAGCACCCAATGGTTCTCATCAGGGAACATCAAGAACGCACTCGGCACGCCTCGCATCTGCAACACGTTGAATGCTGCCAACCCTTCCGCGATCGTGAGGCGGTAATCCAGCTCGTTATGGATGATTAGGTGCGGCGTCTCCCACTTATCCAGGTGCAGCGAGGGGTCCCAACGGTCCCAGTTCTCGGGGACCTGCCAGTATACGCCCTTCAGATCCCGGATGGGGAAGTACAGCTCTTCGGCCGCGAGGGAGAATTTCGTGCTGAAGATCCCGTCGTGGGTGACTAGGGCTTTGAATTTGCGGCCTAGGTCGTGGCCCTGGATCCAGTTCACCATGAAGCCGCCGTAGGAGGCGCCTAGGGCGACGGCGCGGGCGGTGTCGACGTAGTGGAGTTCCTTTTCGATGTAGTCGAAGCCGCGGGCGATGTCTTCGTATGGTTTGCCGCCCCACTCGTTCTGGATAGCGTCTGTAAATGCCTGGCCGTACCCGGTGCTGCCTGTAGGGTTGGGCGTGATTACTACGTAGCCCTGCTCTGCGAAAACGGCAGGGTTCCAGCGGGTGTTCCATTGGTCGTTCCATGCGCCCTGCGGGCCACCATGGATGAGGTAGCAGAGGGGATATTTCTTTTTCGGGTCGAAGTTAGAGGGTTTGATTACCCATGCGTGAATGGGGTGGTCATCTGCCCCTTTCCACCAGATATCAGAGACTTGTTCGGAGGAGAGGCCCAGGGACGCGCCGTGTCGTGAACCTGAGCAGATAAGTTTGGGTTTTTGGTCTGGCTTCGACAAGTCGAGTACTGAGAATGCACTGTTTTCCACGAAGCTCGTGCTGGTTATGAATAGCTTGCTGGATGCTGGTGCGACGCTGGTCACGTATCCGGAATGGGTCAGTTTGGACAGGTGGCTTGTAGAGACCTTGGTGTAGTCAGTCAATGGAAGCCTGAACACGGTCCCGCAACCGGTGTCTTCAACCCGGACAAATAGTTCTGAATCGTTCTCACCCCATGTAAGTGAGCTTGGGCTCAGGTTCCATGAGCCAGAGCCATCTGTATTTGCAAAAATCTCAAGGGATTGAGGCTGTTCAGCCCGCCAGTCAAAAACACCAGGGACAAGAATGATCCTGTTTTTATCCGACTCATATCCGTCTTCTCTCATAGCTAGAATTGCGAGTGTTTTGGACACCGGGGATATAACTGGAGATGTTATCGCCCCTTTCAAGCGATCGAGGGAGAGTGCTTTGGCGGATATTGGTACCGCTTGCGTCCAGGACCCGGCATCCATGTTGCAAATGAAAACAACACATTTGGTGTGCAGGGCCTGATTTAAATTCGGATCCTTGGCCACAAACACAATACCATGCGGACAGAGATCGAAATGATCTGTTCCACCAAAAGGCGGAATCGGTGATTCTATCTCGGGCCAACCGATAAACTTGAAGAGGTTTTTCAACTCTGACAATTTGTACCTGGACTGCTTATCCTCGGCCGACGAGGAAGTCTTTTGTAACGTCCCGAGCCAAATTGCATTTTTCTGCGGTGTAATATACTCGTCCCAATGCCTGACGAACAGCGATGTATACAATTTCCCCGAGCTAAGGGGCTTTTTCGCAGTGGATGGATTATATATCGACCCATCTGGATTGGCCTTCCCAGAAACCGCGAGACCCACGAGCCCAGGGGAGAGAGTAGTGAGTTTCAGATTCGACACGGGAGCGGATACCGTCCCTGCAACATATGGATCTTCCTTGCGCTGGCCACATCCGACAATGAAATTGGTGCTTCCCTTCTCCCCGTCCTGCAGCCAGACGAGTTTGTCGCCGTCACCCAACCATTGCGGAGATCCGTGGTAGGAATTTGTCAAGAGAAGGGAGCTGCCAGTTGCAACATCGAGGACTCGAAGTTCTGAGGTTGTCGCGTGGGTCTCGAACGAGTATACTGTCTGCGTGTAGGCCAGCAAAGTACCTGATGCATTTGGGATGGCAGCGGAGCGGCGAGGAGCGCTCAGCATTACCCTGTGAGCAGAACCCATGTTAGCTTCAGGATGGAGAGAATATCATTGTTTCTTTCGTATACTACAGCTCTAGCTATGGACCTGGGGGAAATAATTACTCTGGCGTAAACTTCAGCGCACGAATAGTCATGATGCTATATCACGGCAGCAGAACCGGTCTAGATAGATACGAACGATGTTTTTAGGTTATTGTTGCTTATACGACCCGGAAAGAGGATAGCCGTGCGTCTGGAAAGCTTTTGATTAATAGGATTGTTTGCAATGAACGCTGAACTTGAAGCTGTTGGAGCAAAGCCTTTGTTTCCTAGAATCCCAGGTGAGTTCCCAAGTCTCGCTGCTCTTCTTCGGATCACGGGCATTCCCCCTGTTCTGACAACGGATGGCGCGGGACCTTCTGAGCTTGCTTGTACAGTTGTTAATTCTATGTAACCCCGCGTTGCGCCTGCTTAGTGATACAGCTGCTATTATTAGTTAGCCTCAGCACATTTAACATTCCAAGGCTCGAAAAAATATAAAATACAACGTAAATCTAACTTTAATAAGAGAACCCTCCAGATGTAGAGATCATGTTTGTCTATCTTATATAAAGTTATAGGAACTGAGCAGTTTGCAACTTCAGGCTCATTTCAATTCAATCGACAAATTCTGATCCAAACAAAATCATTTTAAATTTTTTCTCAAAATGGAAACCGTAGCAAAGCCGTTTTTAGTAGACAAATCCATACATTAACTTACATACACAGTACACTCCGTACAGTCTAAACAAAAGGGCGGAGAAAATGAAAATCAACTTTCGGAGGTTAAATTTTTTAAAAAATAACAAAACGACATTGCCTACTCCGATCCTTCATCCTCATCCTCATCCTCATCCTCATCTTCATCCATTCCTTCCGCAGCCGTTATCTTGAAGGACGGATCTTGGTCAACACCCACATAGCTATCGCTCATCAAGAACAGCGTTAGCTCATGCTCACCAGGCGTCGGAACAATGTACTCCAGTTTGAGCTGCAATTTCTTTCCAATTGTGACCCGTTTGGTGGCCAGGAGGCTATTTGTCTTTTCTTCGCCCACTACCAGCCACCAATTCTCCATCTTCTTGCCCGGATAGAACGGAGCAGACACGGTAGTATCAACTTCTTCGTCTTCCTCAACATCCCTCTCAATCCTGATATCGATATAAGCGGGCTCGCCAGCGGTGATGTTTTCTTCGTCTAGAACAGTAAAGTCGAGATCAATGTTGGGATACTTGTTATTCGTAAACTCTGCCGCCTGTGCTAGCTGCTTGTTGTCAAGACCCAAGCGTTTGACGAGAGTTGCATAATCCTTGTTCTCCGATGGGTCCATGGCTTCCATGAACTCGAAGATGTCCTTGATTCTACGGGTGTAAAGGTGGTTAGTAGCTGCGAATACAAGTATTACCAAGGGAAGGAGGAACATACTGGAACTCATTGGCCACCATGATGACCTCGGGGCCGAAATGAGGAATTTGCTTCAATGGACTATCCCGGTCCCACATAGCTTGAACAACCATCTGTGACATTTCCATCGCATTCATCGCGTTCAAGTGGCCCTCGGATGACAGAACATCCACACAAGCACTCAGGAGGTTCAACACTTTGCCCACAATCATTTCTTGATCTTTGCCAAGATCGATCGGAAGCTGCATGCGCGAGAAATGTGCCTGCAAAAGGACGAATGCCTTGAAATGTGGTGAGTCGTAGACTGGCTGCGACATCTTGACTGGTACCCTATCATACACGCGACGGAGAATATGCTCTTCGTGGCGTCGAACCTGGATCATTTCAAACTCAGTAGCAGATGTCACGATTTCAAGAATGCCCTTCAGCTTGGTTCTGGCTGTTAGAGAAAGCAAGAACGTTTGCATGGTGATGAACGAAATGTTGTAGTATGCAGCAATCATTGCAGCATTTAGTGGTGAGAGTGTATCATCCTCCTCGTCCAGGTCGATGATCTTGGCTTCAGAGAGCTCCTTAAGGGTGTTCTCAACCAACTCGGAGAGGAACGTACTTAAGCCTTCGTGGCTCACATCAGTTAGGCCGTAGTAGCTAGGATTTGCGAGGAGACGGCGATAGAAATAGGTGTATGTCATCCAATCAACAGCATCTTGTGTAGATGCAATAGTTCGAGTGCTGATCTCGGTGACAAACGCATCGTGAAGGTATATCTGCAAATGGCTCTCTATTGGTAGTGCTTCATTTAGGAATTTCTTGTAGTAGTCGCGCTTGACGGCGGGAACCATAAGCACGCCCCTTCCACTTTTGTCCTCAAGAGGGCGGGAAGCTTTCCCGAACATTTGGAGTATCTCACTGATAGGATAGTCGATATATCGATGCTCTCGGCCATCAAAGAATTGGGTATTCATGATAATAACGAGATGTGCATTGAAATTGATCTCCCAACAAACATCCCTAGAGGCTAGCATAACTTGTATCGCACCGATTTTGAAGAGATGTGTCACAATGCGCTTGTCGCTGTTGCTGAGAGCCTCATGGTAATAGCCAATTCCGTGTGATATAGATTCTGCCAGTGCTTGCTCGTCGATTCGCTTTAGCAGGGGGGAAATCTCTTCAACGTCGGCATGTAAGAATCTGTCCTCATCATCTGCGGCAATGCAAGCAGCCAGCAAATCTAAAGCAGTTGAGCGTGTCTGTTTTCGCGTAGGTACAAACACTAGCGCCGGTTTATCAGGAGAAAGCTGCAGTATCGATGCAAAGACAGGTTTTGCCATGGCAAGCATGAGAGATGGGAAATGAGGGATCGTGTAGGACTGAATGTGCAGCTCTAATGGAACAGGGCGTACGTGGGGGCTAAAATTGTAAATAGTATGCTTTTTAGCTCCTAGCCATTCCCCAATGTCCCGGGCATTGGACAGAGGGACACTCAGCCCAATCATCCGGAGGTCTTTTTCAGTCTGAAGGGCAATATAATGCATCCGCGAAACAACAACCTCATAGATGTAGCCACCCTGACCACCAAGCATGTGCAGCTCATCGGCGATAAAGAGCTCAACGGCTTGTACATTCTTGCGGCGCTGCCACTGCCGTGAGAGGACATCCCACTGAATGGGCGTAGCAAGTACTAGGTCGGCTTGCTCGAGAATTTTCAAATCTGCAGTGGTTTCTCCTGTGAGTTTCAGAATGTTCTTCCCACCGTTGAGATTGCCTAATCGGGTTTGCCAATCGGTCACACGATAGTCGATCAATTCTTGGAAGGGAGCAATATAAACTGATTTGCCAGGGTTGGGTTTTAACCAATGATGAAGTAGAGCAAACTCCGCACAGACTGTTTTCCCACTCCCGGTAGGGGCTCCTAGGAAAACATTGTCATCCGTGTCGAACAATGATTTAAAAGTCTGTGTCTGCACCTTGTTAAAATGGTCCCAGGAAGGATAAAGCGTTTGGTACTCAGGTCGTTTAAGAGCTTTGACTGGTACCCGCTGCATATCCAACAATGGCGTATGAGCAGGAAAACGCTCTGGTAGAATAAGCTTCTGGAATGAAACAGGTATCTTCGTCTCCGAATGCATCCATCGATCCGAAACGAGTGAAATAAAGTAATTCGGCGGCATTGGTTCTGTTATTGGTACAGTGAACTCGACTAAATGCTCATTCATTTCTGAAACTGCAAACTCTTTGCGAAGGATAAATTGGTCGTGGAAAAGGATATCTTCGCCATCACAATCCTCCACAATAATCCAGAAGCTTTCTACGGCACCATGAAGATCATCATCCCAGGTGAAATTAGGCGTGATGGTGAGTTCCACACGTAGCATTGACCGCGTCATTGGTTGAACTTGGGCTTGCACCTCGAGGCGCGGGAACTTCTGGACGAGGCCGCAAACTAATTGACCTGACTTAGAACTGCCCAGTAACTCTCCCATGCGAGGGGGATCCAGATCAAAATATGTTGACCAAGGAACATCAATCCTTTCGGACTTTTGCAAGATTTCGCGGGGGCACGACGGAAACTGACGAAGAGGGGACATGGTTGGCCACATGCGCTTTTCTGCCATTTTGCAGAGGTTGAGGGCAGTTTTGGCGACAGAGGCCCAGCCTTTTCTTAGCGTAATTTCGAAAATTGCTCGAAGAATACGACCCGCAGATTGGGTGACATATACCATATCTGCCATTAACGCTAGCCCTTCTAGCTTCAAACGAGATATGTAAGCCTGCAAGAGGACATTGATTTTTGCGTGAGGTTCCTCAATGCCTTCCTTCACTGGAATTGGGACACGACCAAGTAACTTCGCTAGCTCTAGCTTTTCATCCTGTCGAACCGGAATGTATTTGAACTCGTCGCTGAGTGCAAATATACGGAACAGCTCGATTGTGGACACCATAGGTTGAAGGTGGTAGTTATATGTACTCATAGAACTATGCGTGATATAATAATGCGAAGCGATACGGCCAAGTTCGGTAGATTGGAGTCTTCCGGTTTTTTTCTCATATTTGACAAGGTTAGCCTTTTCGAGTACTGTTGCTGCAGAGTGGATGAGATCTACGCGTCGTTGTTCGAGAGCTTCATCGTTTTCGTAATCCGTGCCAACACTGTAGAGACCAGGGGATCGAAGCATTCGGACGAATAAGTAAGTGTAACCGAGCCAGTCCACTCCCTCGTCACGATTGCGTACATTTCCAAGCACAATCTCAGCGTTTAGATTATCCGCAAGCTTGCTCATCAGCTGGCTTTCGATAGGAAGTTGCTGGTTCAGCAAAGATAGGTAATATTGCATTTCGGTCTGGGACGTAATGATGATACCCTCTCCAAACGTATCGTATTGCGGTCGGCCGGCACGGCCAAGCATTTGAAGCACATCCTGGGGACTTAACTCAACCCAGCTGCCTTTCTCCGGCGAGTACACTTGTGTACCTTTGATAATGACTGTATGGGCTGGAAGATTGACACCCCACGCAAGGGTAGCAGTACAGACGAGAACTTGCAAACTGCCATCCGCGAATAGCTCTTGAACGGAGGTACGATCAGCCAAACTCATTCCGGCATGATGTATACCGAAACCGTATGGCATAAGGTCTTTTAATGCAGGGTCGTTGACCGCATCAGCTTCTTCCGTGAGAATAGCCCGGCTGGCTGCGTCACTTCTCAAAATTTGTCCAATAGTTTCCATCTCAACAGCCTTGTCTCGAATGTACCGGGCTGTCTTTGCCGTTTCTTTTCTCGAGTGGACAAAAATTAGCATTTGATTCTTATTTGTACCAACTTGCTCAAGAACTTTCGTATAGCAAACATCATTCATAGTTTTCAGCTGTTTAATGGCCTTTTTATCGGTCACACCAATAAATTCTTGCTTCAGTGGACACGGTCTGTATGAACCATCGAAGTGGAAAAGGGCATTGATAGGATCAACGCGCAGGAAGCTGCCCACGTCACGATAGTTAGGGAGCGTAGCACTCAGACCAATCAGTCGCACTGGGTCGCCTGTTTGTTCAATTTTACGTATTGTCCTGCTCACTATACTTTCCAAGACGGGCCCTCGGTCATCATGGAGCAAGTGGATTTCATCGATGATAATAAGTCGTACAAGGCGGGTATAGCTGGTATCGGTCGCTTTTCTCGTGATAACATCCCATTTCTCAGGCGTGGTCACTATAATCTGGGTATCAGCTATTTGTTGTTTGGTAAGTTGCCGGTCACCAGTAAGTTCCGAGACGCGAATACCGTAGGGCTTTAGCCTTTCGCCGAAATTCCCTACTTGCTCCTGAACAAGCGCTTTCAAAGGTGCGATGTAGACAATTTTGAAGTCATCTAACATGATCTCGCCAGTGTCAGGATTGCGATTTTTCCCAATTTCACGTAGTATTGCAAGCATGGCGACATTGGTTTTCCCAGAGCCTGTTGGGGCACAAACGAGCATGTTCCCATCATCTTTGAAGGCCGTTGGGAAGCACTTTGTTTGGATGCGGTTGAGCTTTTGGGAGTTCCTAAATCCGGGACGTGCCCAATCTGGAAGATCTGAAATGGGAATAAGACGTTCACCTGGGTCCCTCTTTGGCTTCGGAGCTGGGACGTGAATTTCTTCATATCCTTTAAAGGTTCGTTTTGTTGAACCTTGTGGCAATTTGACATTGGGGTTAGTCATAAGGTGATTTCCTTGATCAAACACAAGATTATCGAGGTTGATGAGCTTTTTTGGCTGGAGTCCGCCCGTTAGAACACCATCTTTTGGCTTAGATTCAGCTTGGTCTGGTTTGGGCCCGGGAATATCAATGTCCATTAGGTCAACCTTCATCCTTTTCCCAGGTCGGTCGGCCGCTGCTTCCCGAGACGACTTGCCATGTAATTCATCCAAAATGTCACGGTGACCGGCCTCAATCATTTCTTTCTCAAGTGTGGTTTTGGCCTCGGCATCCTCCGCTGTCCGCCTCCATTTGGTCACCCAGACAATTCTATCCCGATTCATAATGAGCTTTCCTACTAGCTCTGGGTAGTCGTAATCAAAAAGTTCCATCAGGTCATTTTCGACATCACGTAGCTGCCTTTCATTTCCATCTTCTGACTTTTCCCCCATCATCCGCAAAGCCTCTTGAGTCTTTTCTTGCTGTATATGTGCGTCGTTGTAAATCGATCCAATCTCTCGCTGGAGCCAATACGCATCAATTTCACGAATTGGGACGAGGTTCGAGCGACTCTTGGTTTTGTCATCACGAGATGCTTCCACGGCGCCATCGATTACTATTTCTTCATCGGGTGTGCCCGCCTCATCATTTTCAGCAGCGGCACCGCCAGCGGTTGCAACCTCTTCTAAACCGGGTTGATCCTCTTCGTCAGACATGTCCTCGTCGGAAGGCTCGTCCGCATCTCGAACCTCGCGAGCCATATTATCTTCATCTTCGTCCGATTCATCGAAAACCACAGCTACACCTTGCCTCTCATCTAATTCCTCCCCACCCTGTATACCATCTGCGCCGTTTTCCATATTTTCGTCTTCATCTTGCGCATCGTAATCTGTGATTTTCTTCCCTAGGTTGACAAGCTCATTAAACTCTTTCGCTCCCATAGTACTTCCAAGTAGGTCATCAATCTCTTTTTTTTTGTCGAAGTCCTTCATATTTTCATCTTTTAAGAGCTCTAGTACAGCATCTGCAGCACTTCGAATAACCTCGTGAGACACGTCTCCTAGATGGTTTGAAGTCATCGTAAGGATTAAATCATAAGTTGCTCTTGTCGCAGGAGTTCTCGGTCGATATTTTAGGCCTTCGATGAGCGCGTCTGCTGCCGACAAGATACCCACGCCCCTCAGCTGTGCCTGTTCTCCTCGCTTTCGTTTTCGTTGCTCTCGTTGCAAAACATCTTCGCCTTCTCGAATCGCACCTCGTTCGATATTCTTAGGGGCCACTGGAGCCTTCCTGATTTTTGTAGCATCCGCACCTGAGGCCCGCGTGCCCATGTCCTTGATATTAATGCGACCGGCGAGAGACTCCGGGTCGCCCGTAACCTCATCTGTGCGGCGAGTTACAAAACGACGGTCCGCCTGGAGAACCAGGTTGGACATCGCCGAGTACTTGTACTGCGACACATTATTTGGATCCGCCATCTTGACTGCCGTACCAGAATATTGTCAAGAGCTGTTTCGCGCTGGTTGACCGTAGCGTAGATGCAGTCGAAAGGTAGAAGTCTATGAAAACCCTGCAGACAAAGACAGGAATAAAGATAATTCAGGAGCCTGGCCTCATTGCTTGAAATAGCACGCGAAATTCAGGCTCAAGAATGCTTGATTCGCAGGCGCTATGGGTTGTAAAAAAGGGACAGAATCCAGCAAGAGAAAATGCTATTTGTTGAAGCCTGAAGACGTCGAAGTTGAAGCTTTGATGCTCACGGCCGAAAAGGGACTAGCGCCTATTTAACATCTAGCCGGTGCTCCCAACCACGACGCCAAAATATAAATTCCGAGATAAACCAGGGGAAGCGGATGCAACGACACAGCCTGGTTTGTGGATATGGTGGATAATGTCAATTTACCTATCTCGTGGACGGCAGCTGAAACGCCCTCTATTGTCAATTTCTTTGCATTGCTGCCCTGCCCGCAATGCTCCCCTTTCGCGCCGCGGAGTGCTTCCCTTGGAGCTCAATCGCGGCGCAAAGAGAAAATCTACAGCCAAACTTAAGGATCTTCCTCAAGGGCGTTTGGAACCAATAGAACCGTATGCTCCTCTCGTTAACGATGCTCCTCAGTATCCGACGGTGATACAAGGCGCAAAAAACAATATGCTGAAGTTTAAGAACTGTGTACTGCTCACGAGGGTGGGAAACTTCTACGAAGTACGGATATCCTTTTCACTTGACTTGTCGATGAACTAGTAGTGACATACCCTTTCTCATTGCAGCTCTATTTCGAACAAGCGGAGGAATACGCCACGCTGTTGAATTTGAAACTTGCCCAGAAGAAGACAAACGCTGGAGCCGTGCCTATGGCTGGCTTTCCCTTTTTCCAGCTCGACCGATTCCTTAAAATCCTCGTTCAAGACCTTAACAAATATGTTGCCATCAGTGAGGAATTTGCCAATAATGTTGTTGGTAAAGCGAAGTCCGGGGGTTTGCAGTTCGACCGTAAAGTCTCTCGAATTGTCACTCCGGGAACATTGATAGACGAGAAGTTTATGGATCCTTACGAGAACAACTTTCTACTCTCAGTATATATGCCCACAACTCTCCCAGAAGAAACGGAAACATCATCGCCTGAACAGCATTCTTCTATGTCGGGCACTCAGCTCATTGGCCTCTCTTGGTTAGATTTATCCACTGGCGACTTCTTTACCCAACAGACGAAAGCGCAGATGTTACCGTCTGCTCTAGCTAGGATTGGTGCTAGGGAGATAGTCATAGACCAGAATGTCGGGCCAAAAATAAGACAAGAACTACAAGCTATTGTCGGACAAGACCAGCAGCATCTGATAACGTCATTTAGCTGTCCAAATGAGATGAGGACTTTAGCAGAGTGGGGTTCCATTTTTGAGTCTCCGATACCTCTTGAGGTAGCTTCCATGTTCACTATGGAAGAAACAGCGGCCTGCAATATATTGTTGGAATATGTCCAAGTTCAAACGCAGGGAGTGAAGATGAAACTCCAAGCGCCCCGCCGTAGGCATTTAGATGAGTCCATGACTATTGACCGTAATAGCCTAAGAGGGCTTGAGATTTTAGAAACTGCTCGAGACGGGCTTGGAAAAGGAAGCCTTCTCCATGCTGTGCGGCGTACTGCGACAAAAAGTGGAGCTCGATTGCTCAGGGACCGGCTGAGTACGGATTTACTGTCTATTTTATTTTTATTTTTGGTTCCTCGTGCTTGCATTCGGGATCACGATAGGCTAACACTGCTCTCCAGCTTCACCTTCCGCTTCATTACACGTTATCAATGAGCGACTTGATTTAGTATCCAAGTTCCTTGAGGATGAAGATCTACGCCAAAACATCATACTCCTCCTTAAACGTAGTTTCGATGCTCAACGACTAGTTCAAAAGTTCTCATTAGGCCGAGGGGATCCGGACGACCTACTTTGCCTGTCAAAAGCAATCCAAGCGTCGCAGGAAATAAAATCAGTTTTACTCCGGCATATCAATCAGTATGCTAATAAGCCTTCTGATCTGACTAGCAGTTTACGCTCCATGCTGGACCGTTTAAATCTCGATGGCCCCGAAACTCTTTCACAGAGGATACTGGCGGCGATAGACGAAGAGGGCCTTCTCCAAAAGCAAAGAATCGAAGACGATGCCGCTGCAGACGCTGCGGCTCTCGCTCAGGAAGTGATTTTAAATGAAGGGTCGTCAGAAGACCTAGAAGCCATGCCTAAGCCGGTCAGAACCCAACGAGCCGGTAGGCAAAAGGATTCGAACGGCACTGAGCAGGCAGATCGGACCACATGGATCATGCGCCGGGGGGCAACTAAGAATTTGCAAAAGCTACATGATGCTCTTGATCTCCTTCTAGCGGACAAGTCCGAACTAACAAAGACGTTGCGAGAGACCGCTGGGACTGAGAATTTAAGTCTCAAGTGGACACCTGGGCTTGGCCACATTGTTCACATGAAGGGAGTAAAAGCATCGCAACAGTCAGTTGAAGCGTTGGGAGCAACGCGAACAGTCTCTTCATCAAAATCAACACGCTCCTTTTATCTAAGTTCCTGGTCACAATTGGGAAGCAGAATTGACGATGCAAAGTTCCACATACTGTCCGAGGAGCAGCGCATCTTCGAAGAGTTACGCGAAGCGGTGATTTTGAATCTTGTGAAGTTACGCCGAAATGCTGCTGTCTTGGATGAACTCGATGTTGCGTGTTCGTTCGCCAGCCTTGCTGAAGAACAGCAGATGGTTCGTCCTGTAGTCAACAATAGCAGAAGTCACAAAATAGTAGGCGGGAGACATCCGACAGTTAAACTTGGGCTGGAAGAACAAGGGCGTCCCTTCGTTAGCAATGACTGTTTTATCGGGGAACAGGAACGGATATGGCTCATAACGGGGCCGAATATGGGTGGAAAAAGCACATTTTTGCGCCAAAATGCTCTGATTACCATCCTTGCACAGGTTGGATCTTTCGTACCGGCGGAGCATGCAGAGATCGGTATTGTGGACCAGATATTCAGCCGCATTGGTGCTGCAGATGATCTCTTCCGGGACCAGTCAACATTTATGGTGGAGATGCTGGAAGCAGCGACGATTTTGAAAAACTCTACATCACGCTCCTTTGTGATTATGGATGAAGTTGGGCGAGGGACAACGCCTGAGGATGGAACAGCCGTGGGGTTTGCTTGTCTACACCACCTCCATAACGTCACTCAATGCCGTACTCTATTCGCTACCCACTTCCATGTGCTGGCGGACATGACCGCTCAATTTGAGCATTTGGGTCGATACTGCACGGACATAAATGAGGACCCTTCGGGGTCTTTTTCATTTGTCCACAGACTGAGAAGGGGTGTGAATCGAGAGTCTCATGCTCTAAAGGTCGCACGGCTAGCGGGTCTCCCAGAGAGTGCCATTGCCGTTGCAAAGGATGTGTTGTGCAAGCTATCACATGGCAGAAGTTTTGAACCTAATGAGGCGGTCTCTTCTCCTGACAGAGCTACTCGGGGCGGCTCCTGATGTTTTATTATACCATTTTTTTTTATCTCAGATCATAATATGCCTTTTAATCATCTGATTCCCCCTCGTGAAAATACTCAATCATATTAGCAATTTGATTCCCCACGAGCCGAAAATTAACGAAGTGTACATATACTGAAATTTCCGCTCATAACTTAGCCACCTCATCCTCATACTCCTCCATCTCCCTTATATCCACATCCACATCTACATCAACAACAATCCCCTCATCAAACGCAACCTCCTGACAATCATCCTCCGCAACCCCATTCGCAAACTGCACCACTACGAAGTCCACCCGACGTCTCCCCACCACTACCATTGGCGCATGCCAAGTGGCAGCCCCATACGTCACCGCTTGACCACCATGCGCAATGAACGCTTTCATATTCCGTAGATCCGGCGGGTCGCGAATGAGAACCTGCTCCTTGCCACCCTGAGCATTGACAACCGTAGCTTGCGCCGTCTGCCCGTGTAGTGACGGTGCGACGATGATGAGGTAACTGGGCACGGGATTGTCATTGCCGCCACCGTCGTTCTTATTGCGCGCTCCCGTAGATAAAGCATTGTTCTCATTATCGGGCCGTTTTCTGTCCACCCCAGATGGTACGCCCAGCGGAATAAACGTCTGCGTAGTAAACGGATGTCGCTCCAGAATCCTTACATCGAAGAGTCCACCGGCAGGCTTTCGTCCCCGGCCCCCTCCTCTCCTCAATGCCCGCGGGAAACACGAGAACATACTCATGCGCGGCTCCCCGTTGCTCCTCTTCCCCTGGCCCTCAGCGCTTGTACATTGGTCGTAATTATTCTGGAATACGGAGATCGGGCTGTATTTCAATGCGGTAGATTGGTTGGCGAGGATTGGAGTAGGGGTATTGGATGGATTTGGATCAGCATCGGGGAGAGAGGAGAGAGAAGAAGCAGGGGGTGCGCGGGTGAGGGTTGCTGGTAACGGGCTAGATATGGCAGTGCCAAACGGATGGAAGGAAGGTAGGGTGAGAGGGGAGGGATGTATGGTCATATTTGATGTAGGGAGAATCGGCGGAGGCATTGTCGATGGTATAGGTATATGAGTTAAGTGTATGATATGTGCAAATTGTCGTTTATTGTTGGGAGTAGGAGCTTTTCATGTCCCTACAGCAGACAAAAGGCGGAGGTTGCCGCCGAGTTGCAAGGGCTCAGGCTGTGGCTGGCGGTGACGTAGTTATTTTTCACTTCGTTAACTAACTACTCCGTACGGAGTAGTTATAAGCTTGTTTGGCTGGTTTGCCTGGAGAGAAGCTCCCCATGGTTTGCCGAGGCATAAAACAACAGGTAAACAACAACTTACGGAGTACAAGATCCATACCATAGTTAACATCTCCAATGTTCTTTCAACTGAATCAAATACAAAGCGTTGCTGGACATGGCATATAATGTTCAAATTACAAGCCAATTGATTTTCGGAAGTGAGATAGCTATCCTATTCATACTTGGGTACCATCCATGCGATCTTGTCTCGTCTCAAGCAATGTGGGCGCATTTGTAGACACCGAGTACTATCCATTTATGTATATGTATATTCCCCAATCCCACTACTATAAGTAGTAGTATTTATCCTCTCGCTATTCATCCTGAATCTTTGCTACCACCTTATTCGCTTTTCCGGCACCCTTTTGCTGATACTGATGCGCCTCAAGTGCATCTTCAAAACCGCCCTTACCCACCAAATCATATGGGGGAGGGAATAATTGACCCCCTTGTTCAAATAATGCCACAAATACTGGAATATACTCAGCAATCCTCTCATTGATATGTTCTGCAGATGGCCGTCCAATCTGCCCTAGCTCAACAAGTTTTGTTTTGCCCCCTTCGAAGTCGGCGATCCCACTCCTAGAAATGCGGTCAGTTCGGAGCTTTAAAGAAACTAAAAAAAAAAAAAAAGAAAATTCAAGAAGTTTGCATGAAACAGTTCTCTACAGCGGTACAAACTCACCATGTGTTTGTCGAGCAGAACAACTTTGGACCCTCTTTGGGAAGCCTTTTAAACAGCTCTTTCGCGAACGCATCGCCCGATGCCGCAGCGTCAAAGACTCGATGTACCTTGCCTTTGGTAATATTAAGGACATCTTTGACCTGCTCCTCTATTGGCTTCTTATAGTCAAACACGGCTGTAGCGCCTTGTCTTTTAACGAGCTACGATGTGGAGTTAACATCATTGTACGATGCCGTGAATATATTTGGGCGGAATATATACGAACTGGAACAGAGCTTGCAGAACACGACGCCATCACCTTATATCCACAAATATTAAAGAGCTACTGTCACCGTCAGCATAGCAATCGAGTGATCTTGAAGGGCGGTCTGGGAAGGATAATATGTACCTGAACCGCGAATTTTCCAACAGAGCTGGCGCCACCTTGAACAATAGCCCATCCGTCCTTTTTTTCAGGTGCGTATTTAGCTTCAAGAACTTCCTGCAAATTTGGCAGTTCCACGTCAAGGCAGTCGAATACTGATAAACCCGCAGTCTACTCTTAAAGTGAGCTTTCATTCGCACATCACGGTACCTGCATTTCATGATGTCTGAGGAAGGAATAGACTAAACACACATACCTCCAGACCAGCACCTATCGTGGCAGCTTCCACAAGAGAAATGTTCTTCGGCTTCGGAATCGTGACTTTGGCATCCATCAATAGCTATATTGCACAGCGCAAGAAGACTACATATTAGTTAGGTGATCGGAAATGGCAATCACCATTCCAAAAACGAAGCCCCGCCAGTTCCGAGCCATGGGTTGAATACGGTAGTGCTCAGTTGGGATACGGTGCGGAGATACTGACATATTCCTGCCCACTATTATATCCCGGATTGCCCAGGCGTGTGCTTCCACAAACATAATCGCCAACTTTAAACATTGAGGCAGCGTTTTCGCCTACTTTTACCACGACGCCTCCAACATCGACTCCAAGACCGAGTGGCCATTCCTGAACGAGCACGCCTAATGATCGCATCAATCCGTCTCTAAATGTAGTAGTTCTGCGTCAGGCCCCGGCTGAGAGGGAGAGAATCATTCTGCCTCAGGAATACCATGCGAAAAAGAAAAAGAAGGCAAACAAAACACAGGGTCGAGAGATAGGGAGTACAGTAATAAGAACCCGATAGATTCTAATGAGATAATAATTAAAGAACAATGAAGACACGCTAGCGCTCGCTATTACACGAACAAAGGCGCTTGTCCGTCCTCCCCCACTCAAGAGGTGAGCAACCTCTGCGCAGGGCGATAAATAAACAAATGAAGAAATAACAAAGGAAAGCCGCCGTGGATAATTTCAATATCTCTAATGAAAGTTCAAGCTTCTAAGGAAAAGTACTACAAACACTGGATTCAAGGCCATATAGATTGATTTGACCAGTATTTGGTCAGCCGATGGCTCAGGAACATCAAGATTGTCCACGATTTTGAAAGGCTCGCCGGCCTTCTCACAAATGATGCCTTTCATGGTTTTCCTTCGATATGAGTTTGGCGAGCTGTTGGTGGAGGTATTGAAAGACGTGGGGGGTCTGATGAGATGATGGGGAGGGGTAACGTAGATATAGATAGATGCCAAGAGCAAATGAAGCGGGGTGGGAGTATACAACAATAAGTTCTGGTAAACGCAAGAGGTATTTATGGACAGTGCAAGTTAGGTTTATTTTGAAAAAACCTTTTGAGACTTTTCCGATTTGTCAGGAGGGGGCATAAATGCCATCAATCATACTGTATACTCCGTCTTTCGGATGATTGCCTGGTCTCGGCTTTTATTTAGGCAACGCCGGTCTCGTATCGCCGATAGAGCAACCGCCAGGGAGCGGAAGAAGCTCGAAACTTGGAAGCTGGTATAAAAATCCTCTGTCCGTGAGTTGCGCTCTTTGGATTTTGACTTCAGGCTAGAGGTGAATCAAGCTGCCTAGAATCCCTCGGAGGCATCCGGCATTCGTTCTTGTTTTGCCAGCATCCCCTCCCCTAGGATAAACTCAGGAGCGGGAAGAAACACAGGCTAAATTTGGTTGGCTGCTTTGTTCTCTTTTTCTTTTTCTTTTTTTCCCGCGTATTAAGATTTAAATGGCTCGTCTTTCTCGAAACATCTGTAAAGAAATGTGGATTCTCAATGCTGGAACCTCGAAGTGATCATGAGTACCAAGAGGTACACTACGACATTCTTAAATACGCATGTCTCGTTAAATTGACATGATTGAAAGCAACTTATGCTTGAACTTGGCTCTAATCCATGATGTAGTATATGTTACATTAACCAGGAATTAACAAAGAAAAGAGGGAATCAATGAAATAAAGATGAAGAAGGGTACGAAAATGGATAAAGATACAAGGAAACGTTTCCGTGAAAATGGCCTGCCCTGAATTCTAGGAATTTCATGAGCGCCGATAGAGTGATCGCTCCAGCAGCCAATGTATGCTAGATTGCTCATCAACTGATAGCGGCGGGAGGTTTAGGGAGAAGGAGTGCCGAATGATGCTGAAAAGGTCAATTGCCCGCCGTAGTCATAGGTTGTCAATAGATTCTCTAGGATTATAAAACCATGTTCGATCCAAAATGGAAATCCCTCTATATACGCCGGTTGATGATTACCCCGAACGCATTCTATAATGCCTCATTTGTTGTGCAATAACAGCGTTCTTAGCGAATCCCAATGGTCCGAGTCCGCGTATCTGGTTCATGGTTAGCCATTTTGTTCATATACTTTAGAATTTAGAATAAAGTATGCGCTTCAGAGTGACGCTAGGTTTTGCTTGACATACATGTACGTCATGCTACTTCGTAGGCTTGATTGAATAGCTGCTGGGTACCAACGGAATAGGTACATGACGAAAGCCCAGCTTAGACTGGCAAAGGCCGGCCACGCGTTGGCATATATTTTATTCCTGGCTTCAGGTGTTATCAGGTGCGACAACCCGTGTGTTCCGGGCTCAACGGCTATTTTTGCCATTGCGAGCACTACACGCGCAAAAACGTATATAACAATCTAAATTGACGTATGTTAGGTTTACTCCGGAGTTTCTTTAGGTTAGATATGTTAATAGATTGGGTAAAATGCTGACCTGTTTGCTGACGCTCCCCGGGGACTTGCCAAAAACGAGATACCCTCCCAGCAGTCCAGCCACGAAAGTATCATATGGGCCCTCCTTACCCCATCCACTTGGCCCTAAATATCTAAGGGCGAGCATGGTAGATTTGTAGATGACTGCGAATAATGAAAGGTTCCGTGCATGTTGCCTCGTAGCTTTGAAAACAAGCCATGTTTTCTCTCGTATACTGGAAAGGGTAATACGATCTGAGTAAACAAGATGATGACATGAAAGAGTAAAGTTGGAGGTTAGGATGGGTGTTAGGCGGTTTATAAATACCTTCCCGAACGGAAAAGAAATATCATCCTACGGGTGTAAAGCAAGAGTTAGCATTCTGAGCTAAGTTAAGAACCATCATATGAAGTATATAAACAATAACTGTGCCGGTCATTGACTTACACCAAGGCATGGGGAAATCGAATCTTGGCACCGTAGACGGCTCCATTGCGAGCGCCTTTGAGGACTGCGAGGAATGGCGCGAGGTCAGGGTCTAAGGCAACTTTATTCAGTTTTTCCTGTAGCTGTCTGTTAATGTAATTGGTTTAGGCGGTCGGTGGAAATCGAAGCGCGTACAATGAGGGAATCCATGGTTTCTCCCTGATCCTCTCAAGCTCCTAAGGCGGGCGAGTAGGTATAATTCGACTCTCAGCCTCTCTCATGTGCTGGCTGTGCAAATGAATAGTATGTCTCCAATCACGAATGTGTACATGTGGTAGTATGATAGTAAGTAAGTTGACGTTTTCCGGAGAGCGGTTTTAAAAGAAAATCGCGGAAAAGGGTTTGGATGAGGGAAAGGGTTAAAAATCGCGGGTTCACCACATGCCTTTTTGTCCCGCAGCCCTCGGCATGTGATGGCCTTAGCCGACAAGCGCGCACCGACGTCACTGCACACACGTGACCTCCGCGCTTATTCGGGCCGAAAATCAGAACCAGCGACCCGTAGCCTCCTTTTAAGGTTATTCCATCTGCCGCGTTGAGAGACTCTGCCAGCGGATCGATACGATTCCGGCCCTATCAGCAAATAACGGTAGATATGCGGAAACGGCTTACCCAGGAGCAAAAGCACGCCGTGACCGCTGCATTGTTCCGCCAGGAGCCCTATCCCGATATTGCTGCCGCCCACGGCATATCAGAACGACGGCTGCGGGGAATTGCCAGCTGCCTGCGAACATGGGGAACCACACATCCACCAAGGACTAAGCCAATGGGGAGACCAAAAACAATCACGGATGAGATTCAAAAGGTAGGCTATACTACGAACGCTCGCCCTGCTTCTCCGAACATACTATCACTCATTGCTAAATACTAATGACGTCCATGAACCTAGGGTCTAGGTGATTTTGTCAATGCACGGCCCCTTGCTAGCATTGAGGATATGCAATCTTATATACAAAACACCTTCAGTATAAAGTGCAGTTATCGGTCAGTTTCACGTCGTTTGAAGGATATAGGATATACCCGCACCATCATCCAGCGGGGCAATCGTTCCTTGGAAAAGAACAACATACCACTGCTATCTGACACGAATAAATTGCGAATTCAGAATGATCCAGCTGCTCCAGAACTTTTAAATAAGCCCAAGGTTCTATACGCGTGGATACTGAAGCCTTCGAAGCCGAGCCAAAAGCGCTTGAAGGCCGCTGCGCAGGGGAATAATGGACAGCCTTCTGGCGAGGTTTCGGATTACGCGGGAAATGAAGAAAGCCTTGACAGCTTGTTTGATGGGGAGGATTCCGTTACTGATCCGATGCCAATAACAACGCTTCCTTAACAAGCTATCCCACCAACTTCCTCCTGGTAGATATTATATTGAACAGGCCTGTTGACGTACCCAGCGTCGCATAGCAATATCCCTTTGGCACACCCATTCGTCCGGCTTACATTTTGTTTTCGTTTCCACTTTCTCAGCGGGATCTGTAAATATATACACTTTTCTTAATATCATATATTGGAGAATAGAAAAAGGGGTTATGTATTTATATAACTGTTCATCCCTTCAATATATAATCGCTGAATAATAAAACTTTTTATAAATAATGTTACTTTCACACCGCACATTTTGCAAAAATGCCGTTTTAAAACCAGCCAGGCCCAGATATAGAACGCCATGCTAACGCATAATTAAAAAGAATAAGGAAAACCACGGATCCCATTACTTGCCTAAACCCACTTTCGCCTTTTTCCTATTATCGTCTTCAACTACCTCATCCACATCCATCATATCCACATCCTCATCATCGTCATCAACACCGGCTCTCCGTTTCAACCCTTTCATCTTCCTTGTTTGCAAACCAGTAAGATCCTGGCGACCAAGATGGACCCGACCAATCTTATCACCAATAGCATCCATACCGATATTCTTTTTCGTCTTGGCCTCCTCATTCGGTCTCTTCCCTTGTTTCATAGCTTCCTTCATGACATCCTGGTCCGCCTCTCGTACTCTCCCAATTCTGAAATCAAACTTCGGCCCAACTTCATCCAGCTCCACACGCGGAAGTTTTTGTCCACTTTTCTTCGTCCGAATCTTATACCACCTCAAATGAATAACGGGCCGAGTTCCTTCCACAGGTTCCTCCGCCGTAACCGAAAGTAAATACTGCAAACCTTCCACATCGATCTTATCCGTTTCCTCCCCCTTAAACATATCCAAAATCATACTCTTCAGCATCCCATAAACAGGCGACGTGGCGTCCTCCCACGCACTGCCCGCAAATAGCATCATCGGCTTCATCCCAACTCCAATATCCAGCTTCATCTTCTTCATCTCCTCCTTCTCCATCTCATTTCCCTGGTCCCCATGACTGCTCAGCAACAGCATCTCGCACATATCCAGCACCTTGGAGTTATAGATGCGCACTAGCGTCACGCAATTGGGACGCTTCTTATTGCTGCTGCCGAAGACAACGATGCCGCATTCATTTTTCCCAGCGAGGAATTCTATACCCTCTACACTCTCGAATGGGTGAATGTTTTCGTTTTTCTTACGGAAAAGGACTGAATGAGGTTTCGTGAGGGCGTGGAAGGTTTTGAGGACGTGGTTCAGAGGTTGGGGACATTTTGGGCCGTGGAGTAGTAGGGTGCGTTTGACCGGCTCGATGAGTTGCGGTTCCCGCGCCTTGAGGATACGTGCAGTGCGCGGGTTTTTTGGTTTTCTATGAAGGTATCGTGTTAGCTTTGCTGGGTAAATAAATTGTTTTGGTTGTCGTTGGTCCTTTTTCGGTAGTAATGAAGAACAGATACGTTTCTGTACGCAGGAATAATAACCACAACAATTGGAGGAATACGTACACTTCTCTAAGCATTTTGAGAATCAAGATACATGTATGTGCCTAAATATCCGTCCCCTGGGTTTTGCAGAAGTTGAGATCTCTCCGAGAGCAGGTCGGAGAGCTAGCCTAGAGTTCGCAAAATATTAATTATGCTTTTGATGCCAAGAAGTCTTCATATTTAGCTTTTAAAGAGATTTTGGTTAGCGCGGAAAAGAACCAGATAACGGCGGCTAGCAAGCAAACAATGCAAACCTCGGTGTACCACATCTCTCAAGTTGCTCGTTCGATATACTGCCTAACATTCGTACGTGCTTATGGTTTCGATTCCGAGCCTCCTCTACGAAGGTCTGATAATCTTTGAGCTACAATATCCATGAGAATTAAAATGGGTAATAATACACAAGGAGAATCGGAACCAATCAAGATTCCAGAAGGACAGGCTTGTTATTGGGAATGAGATCACACAACTAGATTGGCACGATACGGAAACAAACCGGCCAATTTACGAAAGAAGAGGAGACACACGGAAATTGTGGCGCCGCACCATGAGTTTCAGCTCTTGGTTGTTGAAACTGCGATCCCTTTCCGAGCTCAGGAATATAGTGGGGGGGTTCCCAGGCCACCTAACCTATGGCCGCGGTCCAGTTAAAGCATCCCTAAGCTAGCCGCTAAAGTTTGCCCGGCCTTAGCGGCGCTTCACAATGCATAGCCATACAGGACAGATAAGGATATGAGACTCACAAAGCATCCATGAACCAATCCATGGAATTGTGTCAACCGGTTTTCGTTGACACCGTTTCCCACCATACATCCCTTACAAAAGAATTTATTGCATGAATTGCGGGGATTTTAACCGCAAGTCCCAGCCAACAACGTTCGCGTAAAGAACCATCACTCAGCTTGTCCGACGAGAGATCACATAATTATCGTGGATGGCAGCTTAATACCTTGAATTCTCTTTCAATGGTTATAGGTATGACCATGCAATAGGGATCTAGCTGGGCCGGTGTTAGGGAGCATATATCTTCACGGCTGAGGTTTTCGAGCTGAGACAACCCCTGTTTGAGACCTCAAGAGCCTCAATGCGTTATTGCCACATCTCCCAACGATGATACAACCGACTGCATGGCAGAGTATCTCTTCCTCAGACAACTCATGATAGTCTAGGCCATCATGATACCGTTGATATATGACCATTGACCGTTTACGAATCTGAAAGCCAGGTTGAACGGCGAACCACTGCCTTCAAGAAATTGGCTGGCAGTCTGGCTTAATTTCCTCTCCCTCTCTCAGAAGGAAACCCTCTCTATCTCTCTCTGTAACTACAATTAACCTGGTGTTGGCCGCCAAATGAAGTTTTTCCTCATGTCTATCCTTTTTGTTTGAACTTCGCAAATAGTGCTTCCATTAGTTGTATTTCGATTTGTCGTTCGTTGCCGTCGCCATCGGCTGTTATATCTCTTTCCGACCCAGACTGGGATAGCAGTCAATTTTCCGTTCAATATACTCAAGTTCTCAGACTGCTATGAAAGTTGGCTTGTGGATTACTGCTGTTTAAATTTGTCTACTCACTCCAGCGGTACGGTGGGTTGGAGCCGGAGCTCAACACCTTCAAGGCCGTGAGGTTCCTAGGACCTGCGAAAAGAAAATGAAAAGACTCTTCAACAGGGTGTGCCTTCTGCTCGTATTGGTTGGGATATCAGGAGTATGTTCTGCAATGTGGCCTCACAACAGGATGCAACTAATAGAGTCTACTTATAGGGGTTAACAAACGCAAGAATACTAGGCCCGAGAGAACACCAGAAATTCTCCCAGCAGGTAGAATTCTTAAGCCAAAAATGCGCTATGATTTTTTTCGTTCTAACTCTGTTCTAGGGAAAGGATCTTCAATCAAACAATTTATTACGCTCTCGGTCATCAAATGTATTTGCAAAACCCCCTTCAATGAATCGTGACGAAGCTGACAATCGTAGGGCCACATAATCGGTGCCGCTGGCGTTGCGGTACCTCCAACCCATAACAGCGTAACATTTAATGAGGGTGGCATCGTTATCAATGTTATAAATTCGGGGGACAGCCCCAACGTTCACGGACAAGACCAAGGGCACGCCTCACTGTTTCCCCCAGCACGTTCTCTTGCAAATTCTCCAGAGCTAGTAGCATTCGAATCCCCCTCTCGCACTACACTCCTAACACAGTCTGTCGGGCAATCCCCATCATCAATATCTCCGGAGCTTGCAGCAGAGCTGTCAGGCAATGCTTCAATACGGTTTCCACCTGCTCCTCGAAACCAAACAGCGCCATTTGCGATTCCGACTACACAAGTACAGCAGTCTGATATTGCTGCGGATGCCTGTGATTGCCAGTGTCTTTGTCCGTTTCACTTTTTCAGCATTCCTGCTATGAATTTGGCATCAACAGTCGATATGGGAGATGTACCACCACCGACAACGCTCGCCACTATCGTTTCTCCATCTGTTCCAGGGGATCAAGTTTCCAGCACCGCAGCTGCAGCGCCATTTTTCCCTCCGGCCAATAGTATAGCAACCTCTAGCTCGGTCTCTCCGACGATTCCAGACCTTCAAGCCTCGAGCGTACCAGCAGTGCCCATACCCCCTCTAGCTCTACCGAAACCGTCAGAGGACAGTATCATAACCGCGACTGATACATTTATATCCTCAGTGAGAGATGCGACTAGGAGTGCTGTTGAGTTTGTAACGCCAAACGAGCCAGTGCCTGCGCCACCGAGAGAGACAGCGGTGACAAATACAGAGGTCACTCAACCAATAACGACAGAAACGGATGTGACGCAGCCAGTGGAAACGGAAGTTGAACCAACGCCGAATGTTGCCGTATCCCTAGAGGACCCAGCAACCATAACGGACGCAGACTTCACACAACAAGCAACAGAGAATGCGGACGTGAGCGCTACCGCAGTTGATGCACCCGCAGAAACAGATGCAGATTCCACTCAGATGGGGATAACACAAGCGCCAACGGAAACGGCGGCACCAGAGGTGGATCCAGTGGCAGCGGAGAGGTTTGACATCAGCACAATGTCACTTCATAGCGTGTTAACATTGAGACTTGGGGGATAGTATGGATAGTGTTCAAGGGGAAGTTGACTATAGAGCCGAAACCAATAGCATGTTCAATCGGCATTATTGGGAGGACCAGGCAGGTCTTGCGCTTTTCTTTCCATATTTCTTTCCCTTTTTTTTAAGGTGTTCGTTGAAATTGTATACCTACTATCTGGTAGTTGGGTTAATATCTTCCTACTTTTTAATGCTGTGGATCATGATCTACTTCCATTTATATATTGTAGCCCTTCCGCTTTTTATTTCATTGCATTATTAAATTTTGCTTTGCCGCACCGTCGGTTTAACCCAGTTCTATGTAGGATTCCGATATCCATTTAAGTTATACATGTCTATCCGGTAGTTTACAATACCATATTAACAGCAACGCCAAACCCCTAAGAATGTAAGAAAGAAAATGAGAAAGAAAAAAAATACAAGCAGGTCATTATGTTTTATCCTGCATCAGGCATCGGGGACGCTGTCGAATTATCATTAGAACCCGACCCCTGAAGCTTTGCCCGCTTGGCCCTCCGTTTCAGCTCACGTTTCGACAACGGCGCCTGGGATTCAGCATTCGACTCAGTCTCGGTATCAGCCTTCCTCTTCACCCCACTCCTATCCCCTTCATCCTTCCTACCCCTATTCTTATTCTTGTTACCATTTTTATCCTTCGTTTCCCTGACCTCCTTCACTGGCTTCTCTCCTCCATACACCACATCCACAATCCCCCTCCAGCTCCTCCGCTTCATCCCCGCCAACGCCACAACCTTCCTCGCCTCATCACACAGTGCCTCCTTCCCTCTTTCCTGCGTAAGCCCCCACACACAGGCCAAATTGACCACATCAAAGGGCGCCCGCACCCCCAACGCCCTCTTCGCCTCGCTCGAGATAATAATCCCCCGCCCACGCGTCGCGCGTATCAACGACGCGGCATTCCCAATCAGATTCCTGCGCGCCTCCGCGCCACTACCCGTTACGCCGGGGCCGTAGCAGATCTCCAAGCGGACGCCGCGCGCGATGGCAGCTGCGAGGGTTTTGAATTTGAAGTGGAAAGGGAGGCGGGAGGAGAGGTCAAGGGAAATTATGTCACAATCCAGACTGTTACAGGCGAGCGTGAGGCACTTTTCATTGAGGGGTCGTAGGGCGATGAGGGAGTATTGTTGTGCGAGAGGGGTGAGCCGCTGGTTTTGGGAGGGGTCAGAGACGTTGACGGTTATGCGGGTGAGTAGGGTGAGGGATTTGGGGGGGTTGGCGGGGAGAGGGGGCGGAGAGAGGTCTGCCGGGAGTTTTCCAGAGACGGACTGGGAGAGGGCTATGGTTGTGTAGCCGACTGTATTGTCCCGAGAAAGGCGAGGGGGTTAGCATGGCGGGTTGCTGATTGTAGAGCATATGCGCGGAAGGGAGTGAGTAAACTTACGTTCGGAGAGGAAAGCAAGGGTGTTAGGTATTTCAGAGTCGTTGGGCGCGTAAGGAACATTCAGATCGTAGAACATGATGGCTGCACCTTGCGATCCAGCCCGCCCTGCTCCCTATTATCGCGGTCTAGTCATTGATGTTTAGCAAGAAGAATCTACGTTAACTGGTTAACTATTTATTTAACTAACATAATCAAGCATATTTCCACGTGACTATCAAGCTCCCCGCAAACGTCCAGCAAAGGGAAAGGAAATTCTTCGGATCTTGGATCTTGGCTTGGTCCATTGAAGAAGGATAGAAGGAAAAAACTAATTTACATGTTCATTAGATCATAACCATACCCATGGGGCCTGTCGAGCACTAGCGAATCGCAAATTGCTCCACACAACATTATTTATTACTTCTCCCTGAACATTGAGACCATTGCAGGAACATCGGAGAGCAAACGGTCCATTGTCAAAATAAGAAGTGAGAGGCGGCGTCAGGCACAGAATTCTTAAACATATGCAGCTTTCTTATGGCCGAGCGCGCGCCGCACCCTAGGGACCCAACGTCCGTCAGATATTGCAAGCCAAAGGACAGGCAGGAGATGTATACCATCAGAAAAAGATATCGATATTCTAGTTGAGGGTTAGGGAGTTCATAGGCATGATTCATCTGTCTTAACAAAAACATCCATGCAGGGCGCGGGAAACCAATCGAGCCAATCAAGCCCCAACCCTTTGAAAGGTTGAAGCCAGCGTCAGAGTTAGCGACTCCAGGGCATCTTCCAGGGCTGGATTGCGCTGAGAAGAAGCAAGTCTGACTCGAAGTAGCCAATCGGATCACTAACTTACCGGATCAGACGTCGGCAATGCTTCATTATATATTAATAACACGAAATACAAACAGATCATTCTTTCTTGTCTTGACCTTTAGAACTGATAGAATGATGAGTTAACTATGAGAGTGTCTCATACGCTGCTTCCTGTGTTAGAAATCTTTCAACCTGTAAATTCCATATAATGTTCGGATTTTATTCAAGAATAAGATTCATTTCTCGTGTCCCTCAAATAACAAAATGGAGAGAAACTGGGAGAGGAAGGAAAGTAGATGAAATGTATCTCAGCCGCCTCGCATGTCTATGGTCGCCGAAACAAGGGCCATTTTCCATGGGATAGGCTCCGTAATTTTCTCAGATCCCCGGGGTCAAAGAGATACTACTTCTTTCCGCGTGGTTAAACTAGCAGCGCGTCCAAGAATTATTGTTTCGAGGTTGGATTGAGGTTTCTACCCCGAATGTATAACAAATCAAGGGATTTGTACAGCATTGGCCCTTCTACTGTGCCGACAGTGGGTTTAGGTAATTGTGGTTACTACCGCACCATTTGTACTGCCCTGATCGATAGAAGATTCAATTCTAGCATGTACTGTAGCTCCATCTATCTATCGCCCAGCAAAGCTTAGCTTTGGTTAAACCTCTAGTTAACCCCACATGATATATCTATTTACTACATATCTGTCAGGTCACGTGATCTGGCTTACTAATCCTTCCACCATATCACTTTCCACAAAGCTAGCAACCTTTCAATCACACAAGTTTTACACCTTCCACAGGTTATGAGACCTGTTTTGTGCAAAATCACTGCCAATTCGGGATTCCTTGTCAATATACTCATTATTTGAACTACTGCTTCATTTGATACACTCATCAGGAGTTAAAATCATCTTATTCTATCAGTATTGATACATTTGAGATCTTGATGATTAATAATACTACTGCTCACTTAAAAAAAAGGCTTGCAGAAAATGCACTACATTTGCAAAAAAAAAAAAAAGCAAGAAAAGAGAACAATATTGACAAGGATTCAATAAATGAATATCAAGATGATGAATTCAACACAATTCTGCTCATATACATGTTCATAATCTCATATTCTTTTCACTGAATTAGTTGCAGTTGATGATGATAATTCTTTACACTTATACTCTGTCAGTGAACATTCTTCTGAAGCTTTTGAAAGCTTTATTGATAAATGCTCTGAAACACTCTCTCAATTTGAAGCTGATTTAAATACAGCTTCTGATATGATCAGATCAGCCTCTCAATTAGACTGGCTGCTGAGATCATGAATTTCATGTTTAATTTCATTTAATCTGATCTTATACATTTCTTGATGTGAATCCCGCTGAGACTGGCTATTAAAAAAACATGTAAAGTGACTATATATCAGATCTTAAAATGAAACCATGACTTCAAAAAAATGAGAAAGTGATTTCATTTAATCTTATTTAGTCTCATTCTTGGCATAAAGTTACTATTTTTAGACATTTTAAGGTTTTTTTTAGACTATTTTTAATTTTTTAAAAAGTAATACTTTTTGATAACACTTAAATAAGATTTAAAGTCATTTAAAGCAATAAAAATAATTTAAATTGAGAAGTGAAAATCATGATCTCATTTAGAAAATGTGATAAGAGTAGACAGTAAGTCTCACTAAGACAGTATGAGACTACTATCTAATGTTAAAACTGTGTAATGAAATCAGTCAAATTGATAATGAGACTATTAAAAAATCTGATTCTGGTCTCAGACACGGTCACACGGTCAGTCTACTCTCAATCTACTTAACAGCTTGATGCTGATTCTCTTGATAAGAATAATGAACACTCAGATGTTTATCATTCAGATGAGATAATATCAGATTAACAGATAAAGCATCTCAAGATAATACTTGAGATAAATAAGAGAAAGTAAAGAGTTCTAGAACTTGAACTATAACTGAAAAAACTTTATCAACAGAGATTCTCATTCTCTACAGATTAATCACAAGATATTAATAATTATTCTGTCATCATATTAACAGTCTGTACAGTCACATGAAATTCTAATCTCAGTGAAAGATTGAAATTCAATCTTTATAAACTAGATAGCTGTGTTGACAAGGCAATCTCTCAATTCAAGAAAGATATCAAGAATACTGTGAGACTAAACAGTCTAACTGATACATTCAATTACACTACATGAAGCATCTTCATGAAATTGAAACTGATTAATATACAGTGTTGATATATGATAGAGAAATAACAGACTCAGAACTCTTTATAAAGAGATGATAAATAAGCATCATTCTGAGATGTCAGAAACTGATGACTCTACACATGTAAGAAATCCCGCTCCTCGCGGATTCTTTACCTCTATTCCTATCTCTCACATAATCAATAGGGCTAGCGGCCCTTGGCTACACATAACTATATAGACTGGAGTTCGCGAATACTATTTACAACTCAGCTTGAATGCTATTATACACTTGACTTCTACATTTATCTTTCTATCATGAACACTTCTAGTAGTTAACAGTACATATCACATCAAGCTGCAAACACCTGAATAATCACCATGAGCACTTATTCTTACATTTCAAGCTCAGTCAGTCAGCAATCACTCATTATGACTGGAAGAACTAGAAACTCACATGCTTCAATCCCTGCAAACTCTACTGCAGGCACCCAGAAGCAGCCATCTGAATCATGAATAACTCTCATGAAAGAAGTTTCAGAGGACTTATTAATCACTCACAGAACATCATTCTCTGCATCTGTGATAGAGAAACTCTTCAAACTCATGAATAAATCAATCTCAGTGAAGAACATTCTTGAGCATCTCTCACAGAATCAAGCTATTTTTCTACAAGAAATGCTTACTGTCTGCAAACACTCTTGAACTGAGTCTCTAAACATGATCTTCAGAGACACCTGTAAACTGAAAAGAAACTTTCTCAAGCTGTGATCACTTAAGGTCATCTATCAAACTACAATCTATAAAAGCTTTTGTGAGTTTGCATTTGAAATTGACTTACAAATCTGACTGTGTGATATGAAAGATGAAGAAGCTGTCATCTACACAATGACAGGCCTCTATTACACTGAAGTCAAGAACTGACTGAATCATCTAGAAAATAATCATGAGAGATTTCAATGATCTGTTCTCAAGACCTATCTAGAGAATAAGTTGAAAGACTTCACAAGCTGGACAGAGAACACCTGAACTGTGATCATCAATATTAGAAAAAGAGGCAAGGAATCTGATGAAGACTACTTGCAGCACTTCATGAAATTATGACATGAATTGAGACCTGTGGAAACAGAGCCCTGAAACAAGATCTGAATGATGATATTTGTAAAGAGACTGAATAAAGACATGCAGAACAAGCTCATTGAGCAAGGCTCTAAGCTCTTAACTCTGGAGAAACTGATGACTCTCATTCATTACTTACAGATTACTGTAAGAGTCACAGACTCACAGAGAGCAGATCATTAATCAGCCCTGTGAGAGCCAGGACAACAGAGAACAGATTTATCAGGAAAAGATGATAAGATATAGAGAGATTTGTATCTGACTGCTGAGCAGAGAGAAAGAGCTTCACAAGCTTCTATGAATAGAGTGTATAACAGAGAGATCAAGGAAAAGAGACTCTGCTTCATCTGTTCTAAATCAGAACATCTTCACACAAACTGTTCAGACAAATCAAAATAGAAATTTGAAGAGTTGCAGACAGAGTCAGTAACAGCCTTCTTAAGAGTCTTGAAGCTGACATCTGAATCTGTTGCTTTCTCAATGAAAATGCTTACTCATGAAGAGAGATCACACTGCAGTGCTGCTGCTCTGCAAGCATGAAAAGCATTGATGAACTCAGGATTCCAGATCACTGTGATGTCTCTAAAGCTCACAGAGTGAATGAGCTGAAAGGTGAAGACTGAGAACCTGCTCTTATAATAAGCAGAGTATGAGAACTCAGACCTGAGAGCTGAGAGACTCATAAGAGTCATCTTTGAATTGTAAGATCTCTCTGAAATCTGGAGAAGATTTGTGAAAACTGTGATTGTCACAGACATTACAGATGACATGTATTTGAGACTTGCATGACTTTAAAGACACAATTCATATATAGCTGTCTGTGAGTCAGGTTTATACTTCTGATCAGTGTTGACAGACTCACTCACAGAGATAGAAGCAGTTAATACTGCAGAGTTGATTAGAGAAGACAAGCTCATCTATGTGATGACTTTGCAAGTGTCTGAGAATCTTGTGATTATGAAAACTGAGCTTCAGATACCAGAGAAATACTGAGATCTCACAGAGATGTTCAGCCCAGCTAAGACAGCTGAGCTTTCTTCTCATCATGAGAAGAATCTAGTAATAGATTTGATAGAAGAGCAGAAACTCTTCTGAGAATCAATCTATAAACTCTCTCATCATGAGACAGAGGCCTTGCAGATCTATGTGAAGAAGAATCTGAAGAATGACTTCATTTAATCTTCACAGGCCTTTATAAGAGTCTCTGTGATATTCATGAAGAAGAAGAATAAAGATCTCAGATTGTGTGTAGACTATCATGATCTGAACTTCAAGATAATAAAGAGTCACTACTCTCTATCTCTGATTGAGAATGTAATCAACTGTCTTGCAGAAGCTGTCATATTCACACAACTGAATGTGATCAATATATATACACAGCTGTGAATACAGTCTGAAGATGAATGAAAGACTGTCTTTAGAACTGCACTGAGATTGTTTGAATATCTAGTGATGCCTTTTAATCTGACTAATGTCTTCATAGCATTTCAGTCTTTCATCAATAAAACACTTCATGCATATCTGAATATCTTTGTGATAATATATCTGAATAATATGATGATGTACTTCATGAAGAAGGAAGAACACACTGAGTATGTATGAAGTGTGTTGAAGGCCTTAGATGAGACAGAACTGTATGTTAAGCTTGCAAAGTGCAACTTCAGTGTCTGCTGAATTAATTTCCTAGAATATGTA